ATGACAAAAACAGCATAATTATAGAGAAATATTTACCTACATCATGTCAGTAACTATGCTGAGATTTTTACTTTCCATGTAAAACAAAATATGCATGTAATCTAAATTCATTTCTTTAAATTTCAGATAGCTGGACAGAGTCAATTATGGATGCATATAAAAAATGTTTTCACAAACTTAAAATCATTATCCTGTAAAAACAATGTTTTTTTTTCAATCTTAAATAGATGTAAATAAAAGAAGAAAAAAGATGATGACTTTTAAAGGATAAAATATATCTATGTGTTAGTTTTTAGATTTAGCCATGGATTATGACTCATAGCAGTACAGTATGAAATTCAGAAACCTCTGATGCTATGCATACTAACCTTCTCCATTTAAATAAGAAAAACAAGATGAGAACTGTGACGTGTGAGATGAGAAGAGCTGACTGGAAATATTTACTGAGGAAAATCTCCTCCGGAATCAGTCGCCAATTAACGGTCCAGACGTAAAAAAATTGACGACCAAAGTTAAACGACATCAGTATGTATCCTACAGGGTTTGAATGCAATCAAAAAATCAAATACTGTTGAAAAGTTCATACTTTAAAGTACATGTACATGTATCAATGATGGCATTGTCCATTGAATTTCTTTAATAATTTCTTTGAAACTTGTAGCTACGGGGGTATTAGCTGACAATTGCTAAGTGTGATGGATGGACACAAGCTAGGATGGAAAGTCAAGAATGGTAGGTGGACAGGACAAATACAATATGCCCCAGCAATATCCTTGATCAGGCATGATAAAAGGAATTGATTGAAGCTTACCTGTACATAAAACAGCCCATGCCCCACCTGTCTCTGAGGAAGAAATTGATAGCCAGGTACATAAAGAACATGGCTACCGGGTCATTAAACAGCCGCAAGACGTAAATAGAATGGATCCTGTAGGACGCACAGCACATAAACAAAAAGGCATAAGGGGGGACCTAAAATAAGAAAATAAACAAAAAGACATAAGGGGCAACCTAAAATTATAACAACAAAAAGGCATACATGTAAGCGAGAAGCTAAAATTACCAATAAAATAAAGTAAATTATGAATACAGCAAATATGCTTATAATGAATGCATGTTTATGTAAAATATTTGAAGATTCAGCTTATTTATGTAACAAAATACATTTTATAATGTTAGAAAACAGAGAAAAATGCTTTTTAAAATGTCGCAACAGCATTATATAACTGTCACTGTAATCACAAAATCATTTTCTTCAACATTTATGACTGTAGTATTAATATTCCTCTATTCAAATTACTTTGCCATTTTTGAAAATTAAGAATTTGGTTGAAATACTGTTTTTATTTCATGAAAAAAATTGATAAACATGTTGAGCATTTCAGGGGAGGCCACTCTGATCTTTCTGCTGTATAAGTTAGTGATTCCCCCTTAATTTAAAGTGAAGGACTACATACTGAAAATAACAGGTTAAAGGTTTATCTGCAACATATTCGTGGATCAGGATGTTATAATTAATATTATATTTTGATTTTCAGAATTTTAATTGTCATTTCTGTAAATTGAGGTGGTCATTTTAACCATTGCTAGTTCTCTGGAAACACACTGATTATTTCAGTAACTATCTACCTTGTTAGTCCTCCTGTAGATATCAAACAGTACCACCAGAGACAGTACGTAGAGCCCGGCAAACAAATACTGTCCTAGTCTGATATTGTGTCCATAACCTGTGATGTAATACAGGGCCAGATAGATATACACAAACCCCGCGGGATACCTGTATAAAATAAACCAAAATTATTACAGAAAATAGAGAGAAATCAGCATAATTATGATGAAGATGACCAAAAGAACCAAATGTTCAAGTACAAACAGATGAGCTAATATAGTATCTCAAACGATGTGCTGAACACCAGGGATTTGAAGTCAGTAACAAGTCTTGCACATTTTCATGAATTCCAATGTAAACTTGCTATCTGATACCTCAGAGCTCTTTCAACAGCTCTAGATATTAATTTCATAAGAATAATGCAGAGATAAAGAAATCAGTACACAGTGTACAAATGTGTGTACAAGTACAATGAAATTCAAGGGACCTGGAATATATTACAGTAAAACTTGTTTAGTACGAACATGGATATTGCAAATTCAAGGATATAGCGAAGTCATCTTGGATCTCCAGCTATATTAATTTAAGGAATTCCTTACACAGATATAAAGAATTATGGATATAGTGTAGTACATGTAATGTCACAGGTCCCAATGACTTCATAAAAGTGAGTTTTACTGTATATATATCCACCATTGATTCATGTCTATCATACAGAATTTATGTCTTTGTTACAACAGTTTATTATATATAGGGCTCAGTGTCTTCTCTAAGCTTTGTGTAGTCAAATGTTCCATTTAGTCCCCCATATAAACTATGACTATATCTAGACCTCTGTATATATTACTCACACTAAGGGTCCAGTATCCCCTCTAAGCTTGGTGTAGTCAAATGTTCCATTTAGTCCCCCATACAAACTATGACTATATCTAGACCTCTGTATATATTACTCACACTAAGGGTCCAGCATCCCCTCTTAGCTTGGTGTAGTCATATGTTCCATTTAGTCCCCCATACAAACTCTAACTATATCTAGTCCTCTGTATATATTACTTACACTAAGGGCCCTGTATCCCCTCTAAGCTTGGTGTAGTCATAGGTTCCATTTAGTCCCCCACACAAACTATGACTATATCTATAGACCTCTGTATATATTACTTACACTAAGGGTCCAGTATCTAGTCCTCTGTATATATTACTCACACTAAGGGTCCAGTATCCCCTCTAAGCTTGGTGTAGTCATAGGTTCCATTTAGTCCCCCACACAAAGTAAGACTATATCTATAGACCTCTGTATATATTACTCACACTAAGGGTCCAGTATCCCCTCTAAGCTTGGTGTAGTCATAGGTTCCATTTACCACGCCCTCCACTTCCTGCATGTAAGCTTTCCAGTCTATCTCAGTGTCTATAATACGGGAGATAATCATATTTGTAGTCATCATATGTACAAAGAGTTATCTAAAAGAATTTTCTCCATGTCAAATGCTTAATATGCATTTAATTTTTTGTTCAATCTAACATAAGTCAGAATTAATGTACAGATGCAAGATTGAAGTAAGCACATGCAGGCTAAACAAAAAATTCTAAAATTTTACATCATAGTCTGATCAAACTGGCAGTTCTTCCATTTGAGATGCCGTGTATTTTAATGCATTTTGATGAAGCTGAGACTACATTTTCCCTAATGTTCAATCTTAATGTCTGTCAATTTTTTTTCAGAAATGTTATTTTTTCTGAATGTACAAAGCTAAATTAATTCCTGTAATTAGAGAACAGTTAGGGGCTTGGTAAGGTCTGTTTGTCTTCTTACATTTTGACCACCCCTACTCCGACTGTGAAGTGATGCACCCCACTGAAAAGAGTCAAATTTTTTTTTACACTTTAAAAATGTTGACTCTTTTCATAGACATAGGGGCTAACCACTATATAGTCCATAGTAGGGATGGTCAAAATTATAGGGATGGTCAAAATTAAGAAAACAAACAGACCTTAGCAAAACTCATTGTCTCTAAACTTGAACAGAAAGTAACTTTCTATAAATTATGACAATGCAAAACTCAAGCAAAGACTTATGAAGGACAAGAATATAAGCCATATTAAAGCATCTGTTACAGTAAAGAATGTAGGACTGATTGAACTATACATGAATTAACTAAAAACAGAGACATGTAATAGATCCCTTTATTACCTAATCAAGTGAATTTTGTTGTTTTATTAGAGATTTAATATTTTCATCTATTCTGTATGTGTTTTCAGTTTTTCTTATCTTTTCAAACTGATCTATTGACTGGCGATCTATTGACCGGTCAATAGACTGCATGTTCTCAGGTGTTCTATTGACCGGTCAATAGAACGGCAACGTATTTCGGAAAAAAAAACGATCCGGGTTTGAAATTTACATACAAACATTGCGCAGACGTCAGTGACACTGGACGTAAACAATTATGGCAGAGAGATTTCCTGAGATTAATGACGAAGAAATTAAATTAGAAATCAAAAATCTTTTGGAAAACATTCTATTGACCGGCAACGTATTTCGGAAAAAACCGATCCGGGTTTCAAATTTAGTTGTTTGTAACACTGCACAGGCATGGTAAACAATCATCTTATTCGATCTTTCGACATTGTTTTAAAAATTGTGTGATTTCAATGGTCGGATATTTTATTTGATGAGAATTACTTTTTAAATTAATACACTGTGGGACGTGAAGACCGGTTTCGGGTGAGACCTATCAACCGAGGTCCCGTGTCGCAGTAAGTGCATGCACTGCAGCAGTGCTGGCACGAAAAAGGTACCTCTCCACCGGCAAGTGGTGGCGTCTCCATATGAGTAAAAAATTTTCGAGAGAAATATAAACAATACTCTATACAATCAATCTTTAATTAATATTACAAATGCACCATATCTAGGTATAAATTTACTATACGGTACGGGAACCTTCTGTACTGAATGTACAATTCTGAACACTTAATACGGAAAATAAAATTAGGTAATAAAACAATTATTTAATGCCTGAGCAGTCAATAGACCAGAATATTTTTCCCTCGGTGCAGGGAACAGCTCAGTGTGTTCTATTGCCCGCGGCCGCGGCCGCGGGCAATAGAACACACTGAGCGGTTCCCGGCACCGCGGGAAAAATATTCTGGTCTATTGACTGCTCAGACATTAAATAATTGTATACTCTTATATGTCTCTGCTAAAAATAATGTTTTGACTGCTTATCATCCTTATGTTACAAACCCAGATGTGAGTTGAAAACTTACATTTGATCTTGTTAATCACGAAAATGTTAACAGCAATTTCAGCTATTAGAAGGGCACACATAGAAAAAATTGCAAACTGTGGATCAAAAACAAGTCTATATAAATTATTTCTTGAAATAGAACTTCCAAGTTTTTTCAACATGGAGGCTGCCATCTTTTAATTTTCAGATAAGGCATTCTGTTAAGTTTCGAGGAGATGATTGCCTAAAAAATTAATTAATTTTGAATGATATTGGGAAAAAGCACTAAGCATGCATTTTTATCATATTTATTTGAAATGATGAGATGATGAATTCTATCATGTCCGGATATCGGGATGTTCCTAACAAAGCAAAGTACAAGCTAACCAATTCCAATCTAACTCTTCAACTGAAGAAGGTATGAAAGTCAAGATACACTTTGGACAGGTCACAAACTGAAACTCTTACTAAATACACAATCAATCACGGGATTAAGTAACTGTTGAATGTAGGATCCATCTGAATCTGATTCAATGGGTGATCCAAAACCTGTACGACTGATATCAGTGTCAGGTTCCCTCGATTCGTCCGTCGTAGCAGAGGGAAACATGTCTGGCGATTTGTTGTCATTAGATATTTTGAGAGACCCACCCTCTGGGCCACTCGATGAATACAGAAAGAGGGCATCTTTTGACTGGAAGAAAATGAAAATGTTTTACTACGAAGAAGATATTCTTCGATTTCAGGTAACATGATTCAATATTGAATCCAATACAAACTTAAGAAACTTGAAAAATAAATACATTTTATTATGTCCAACACAGTCTCTTGTTTTAATTGAAAAAAAACCTTAATTTTAAGGTATTTTTAAGAAATTATTCTGCTATGTTTTATGTTTACTTCATCGAATACAATTCATTTAAAAAAGAAATTCAATGCATGCTACACCAGGGCTTTAAGAAAATAAACATGCATGCATTACTCAGGTCCAGTACAATCTCCTGATTTAGCTATATAGCTTTAAATAGCTATATAGCTTTATTAAGCTATTGAAAATAGCTTTATTTAGCTATTTTTATACAGTTTTTCACAAAAATGTTTTTAGCTGAAAATAAACAAAAAGTCGCATGTATTTGACTCTTCATATTTGTATTATGGGCTATCAAAAGAACAACCAAAATCAAAGATAGTTCTAACTTTGCAGCTTTTGAATACTTTTAAGCAAAAGAGAATTTCTATTGTTAGACTAACTGTCCACTACCTTGGGTGCCTTGAGGCATGATTGCTTCTCATTGTGCTGAACTGTTACCAACCAATTATCTTGTTGAACATAATTGGTCTCCATTATAATATCATTGCAGAAGTAACTGTATCAATTGCTTTATATAGCCCCAAAACTTTTTTGATTACAAAGTCTATCAAGGAGACCTAATTTGATGAGTGAATTTTACATGCATTATTTTAAGAAGAGTTCAAAGTTGTATATCATCACTGCACCAAGGTGCGCTTTTTTGTACATACTGAGAAAATTACACCTTTAAGAAAAAAGTACAGTAAAATAGCTAAATTAAGCTATACTGAATAGCTTGATAAAGCTATAAAGCTATTTAAAGCTATATAGCTAAATAAAGAGATTGTACTGGACCTGTTACTTTTACAAAAATACCACGTACAGTATGGATTGAGTGATTTTAATAGTGAGTGTAGTGTGCAGAACGAAGCGCTGCTCAACACCTGGGCAAAGGAAAAATTAGGACTTTTGCACATTGATCCAAATAATTTTATCCACAGTTAGCTGTAGATTAGCAGTTATTTGCACTGTCCAGACTTCAGTTTGGTAATCCAACATACATACAGCATCATGTGATATCAGATCTTTTGCAGCAAATCAGATCTTTTGTAGCAAATGGCTCATGCAATTTGACAAGCGTAATCTAATTTAAGACTGAAAATTAAGTATCTATGCTGACCCTAACTGTTGCACCATCAACATATTTTTACCTGGTATATTATGCAATCAGTTTTTTTTCCCCAAAGAATATCAATATTTTAGCTGGTACAATCATGGTTCAACCAGGTAGGCTACTAGCAGATTTTGAAAGGTCTGGGTTGTACTCCTTCGTTTAGACTAACAATGAACAACAACAGAGATCATGAACAGATGATCAAAAGATTTTCACTTTCATTTATTATGCTCACTCTTAAAATCTTCAATTCCAGATGAGCAGGACTCTGCATTCTTAATTTCTATAAATTGTTATTTTGTATAGAACAAAATATGGACAACATTGGAGAAGGACCCTATTTTCTCGATGCCGATGGATACACCTGCATTGAGTGACTACAGGGAAGCCACATTTCTGAGATGCAAGCGTTTGTTTGAATATAACCTGATCAATGATGAAGAAATCTTCAATAATCCACTGAAACATAAGATGTTCACAGACTGTATCGGGATGTATGATTGGTCGCTGTCTGCCAAGTTTTTACTGAACGTGGAGATGACGGGGGGCACCATCACCGCCTCGGGATCGCCGCGCCATGGCGACATCGTGGACAAAATCAAAAACTTTGAGGTGAGAGATGTTGAAATTATTATTGAAAATATTACAATCTATGATGGACAAAACAATAAATATGATTAAATACATAATATCTAATAACAATGATAATCTAAATATGTAAATTGATTTAGTTAATGATTTTGATAATTCCTCAAGGCCTGTTGTTATATTCTTTGTTTTATCATGTAGCACTTTGGGTTTCTTGTTAACCTTGGTTTTATGTCGTAGTATTTTGGCTGTTTTGTTAACTCATTGTTGTATGTTGTAGTATTTTGGCTGTTTTGCTCTGACAGAACTCAGTCATGGTAGTAATACAAAAGCCATGAGGACAACAGCTCACTACATACCAGAAACACAGGTCTGTACAACATAACTATAAAAATAAGTCACTTTTTATCATGATATTTAAAAGACAACGTATGATCATGATGATGAAATAGCTGAATTTTTGCCCTTCATTTGGGATGACAATTTAAATAATCAGATTTTATTTTAAACTGTTATATCGTGTTAAATTATTTATTGGCAATAAACAACTTTCTTGATGTTGTTTTAATGGTTTACAGGAGTTTGAGCTGAACACACCCGACTTTGAAGCCACGAAGATTTGGTCAGGGAACATGGGTAAGACTGCTACCCACTCGATTGTGTACGCCCAGCTGTATACCCCCGACGGAGTGTGCCAGGGCCTCCATTCCTTTGTCGTCCCTATCCGTGACCCCAAGACCCTACACTGCATCCCTGGGGTAGTGGTGGGGGACATGGGAGAGAAGCTAGGTCAGAATGGGCTGGACAATGGGTAAGGGGAACACAATCAAGTCAGAGGAAACTGAGATTTAACACACATTTTATAATTGTTTTGATATAAAGTTATTTAAGAAATATTTGTAGTTTGAAGGTTAACTTATTTTAGCTTCATTATCTACATTACAGATTCATGTCTTTCTGGAATCTGGATATGAAGTTATATAAGAATATTTGTAGTTTTTAAGACTGTATTTTAGCTACATTATTTACATTACAGATTCATGTCTTTCAACAATTACCGCATTCCTAGAGAGTATCTTTTGAACAAAACAGGGGATGTAACTCCAGAGGGAAAATATGTTACACCATACAAGGTAGGCACTTTCTAGAGAGTTGGTAACAATCAAATTAAAACGGGATGTAATTTCAGAGGGAAGAATATGCACACCATGAAAAATGTGATGTATCTATCCACTTAGAAAGATAAGCCAAGATGAAAATTCAAAATATTGCATGGAATAAGGAAAAATGATAGTTAAAGAATTTTTTAAAATAAAAGAAATATTAAAAGTACAATATATATGCATGTATTCAATCCAAATGTGTGATTACAGGACCCCAGTAAAAGATTTGGGGCCTCACTTGGGGCATTATCGGGGGGCCGAGTGGGTATCACTGGTATGTGTGTGTGTAACTTGAAGCTCTGTATGCCCATTGCCATCAGATACTCTGCCGTTAGGCGACAGTTTGGTCCCACAGAGACAGAGGAAATTCCAGTTATAGAGTATCAACTTCAGGTAAAGTCAGATAAAATTGTAAATATAAAAATTACCTACATGTAGCAAAACTTGTATATTTGATCAATTTCTGATAATGTAATGTAAGAAAACTCCTTTACCAAACAAGTTTTTGCTTGCATGTAAAGAGTTTTTACAACAAGCTAAAAGAATTTTTCTTTGACAAGAATTTCAACATAGTTTTATAAACCTATAAGGATTTACTCATGAACTTTATTTCAGCAATGGCGCCTGATTCCATATTTAGCAGCAACCTATGTTTTGGAGCACTTTGCAGACAGTTTCTTTATGGACTATGCCTCGCTGAGAATCAGTATTATGGTGGGGGATAAATCAGAGAGATCAGCTGAGCTGGGTAAGGAAATCCATGCTCTGTCGTGTGCCAGTAAACCCCTGGCGGGCTGGATAGCTAGAGACGCCATTCAAGAATGTCGGGAGGCCTGCGGGGGCCATGGTTACTTCAGAGGTCAGTTACAATTAAATACACACAGTACAGATGTAAAATGATTGTGTAGAAATGGCTAAGCCATCGCTAGTTGATTTAATGCAGTATAAACATTGGAGGCTTAGTATCGTTACTCTCTGATATTTACAGTGAACAGACTTGGCGTACTGCGGAATGATAACGATCCTAACTGTACGTACGAAGGGGACAACAACGTCATTCTACAACAGACCAGCAACTATCTGTTATCTCTATTGGACAGGATATCAAATGGTTAGAACCATAGAAAATACAGAAATAAACTTCTCCCAATATCCATTATGGAATTAATATTTTGCTGTTGATCAGTAGAGTTTCTGCAGTTTGAATATCTGTACATTTAGGTGATGAGATTGATTCCCCATTAGAGAGTGTCAACTTCCTAAACAACATGAAGAGCATCCTGAGCTCTAGATTTACCCCAACCTCTGTAGCACAGTGTATGGATCCTGAGGGTGAGGCTATTTTTACCCTGAGATCTGTAGCTCAGCTTAAGTTTGTTTTACAGTTTAATTGATTACATTTTTTACATAAGTAGAATTAAAGAATTTTGTTTAATTTTCTAACAGTGCACATTTGACCATTTGTATGATTGAAATCTTGATAAGAAAGACGAATTATATCTAGGCTCATATGAAAATGTATGTTTACATTCTTACGTTCTACCTAATTCATGTATTCTTGATTGTTTACTTTCAGTGTGTGTGAATGCTTTCCATTGGCTGGTGTGTCGATTGTTGATTGATAGTTCTCAGAGATTACAGTCCCAGTCACAGAAGGGAAGCGATGGATTCACAGCTAGGAATAACAGTCAGGCTTACTTCTGCAGGTCACTGGCTCTAGCTTATATTGAGGTAAATATAGGTCACAAGGTCACAGCTTGGCCTACTTCTGCAGGTTAAAGACTCTAGCATATATAGAGACACATAGTTGATTAAAGTCACTAGTTTAATATCAGGATAAACAGGAAAGTTTTAAAACTTCTGCAAGTATATATAGAGATTAACAGTAAGAAAAGGTCAATAGCCTATAGTAAAAGTATTTTTTTCTCTATATACGTCACTAGTCACATGGTGTGGAGGACCCTTAAGTGTATCCTGATTTTTAAACTTTATATTTAAACTATTATTGAATTTACTTTTTATAACTAGCTGACTGTCCTTGATCGGTTTGTGACCGTGTTACGTGAGGGTAAGGATGGAGAGCCTGTACCAGCAGATCTTGTTCCAGTTTTGGTCCGCATCGCTGCTTTGTTTGGACTCTGGAGTCTTGAGAAACACCTGACAACATTGTATCAAGGTATTTATATAACACCTGACAACATTGTATCAAGGTATTTATATAACACCTGACAACATTGGATCAAGGTATTTATATAACACCTGACAACATTGTATCAAGGTATTTATACAACATGTGACAACATTGTATCAAGGTATTTATAACACAATCCAAAACAAAAAGGGAAAATCAAAATTCCCTTTCTTTCACCCAACGTTTACAATCTGAAGTCATTTTGGTCTTAAAATCCTTATTTGTGTCTCCACAAGTTCCTTTTTTGAAGACTTTTCTTAAGTATTTGAGGAACGTTCCTCTTTATACACTTCAGATGCATTTGTTATGACCAGACTTTTGAGGAACGTTCCTCTTTCTACACTTCTGGTGCATTTGTTATCACCAAGCATCTCTCTCTCTCTCTCTCTCTCTCTCTGAACTTCAGATTCATTTAGTATGACCAGACATTTGAGGAACGTTCCTCTCTCTTAACTTCAGATACATTTGTTATGACCAGACATTTGAGGAACGTTCCTCTCTCTGAACTTCAGATGCATTTGTTATGACCAGACATTTGAGGAACATTCCTCTCTCTAAACTAAGATGAATTTATTATCACCAGACATTTGAGTAACGTTCCTCTCTTACATGTGCACATACAGCGTGTATTTTTAAATACTTTAAGAATCTTAACACATGAGACATTTGAGGAATGTTCCTCTCTCAAATTCACTTTTTCTGAAGACATCTCATGAATGGTCAAACATCAGGCATTTGAGGAACGTTCCTCGCTCGAATTTAATTATTACTGTAGGCATCTCAAGGATTGTCAAATATCAGGCATTTGAGGAACGTTCCTCTCACAAATGGTTGTCTCATGAATTGTCAAACATTAGGCATTTCAGGAACGTTCCTCACTAAAATTTAACATTGTTCACACAGGATACTTACATGTATGAGAAACGTTCCTCTCTCAGATTTGTATATGTTGAAACCTTATTCATATTAAATCAGGCATTTGAGGAACGTTCCTCTCACAAATGGTTGTATTTCTGTTGATTACTTATACCTCATGAAGCTTGCAACCCGTGCATTTGAGGAACGTTCCTCTGTCTTGTAATGAATATCTGTTGATATATTGCAAAGCCCACTTAAAAATATCTTTAAAGGAACGTTCCTCTCTAACATTATCATGTGTTTTGTGATATTATATTAGTTTTTATCGTACATGAAGAATTTGGGAAACATTTCTCTCTTTTATATGAAATGCAGTACATATTCATAGAAACATTTTTTATCTGTACACACTCTACAAAATATATATGAAAAATCATTTTGTCATTTTATAAAGTACTTTTTGAATTAAGGCTTTCTTTAAGCATAATATAAACTAGGTACAGGAACAAACAAATTTTTCCACTTCGGAACAAGCATGTGCAATGTGCAGTGTTCATGTATCAACTCAAAGGGCTTTTTCACTGAATGGCATTGTGATCACATATTACAATGTCTTGGTTAACAGGTTAATACCCACAGTATTTTTCCTTTCTACCACGAAATTAAACCAAAGTTGTGATGAAGGTCAACCATGTTTCTTTCTCGGTTACATCTTTCCCTCATAATAGAGACGATTCCAATTCCTTGGTCTCCAAAGGTTCATAGCATTTTTTCATCAGTCAAAGTAAAACAGCCTCAACAAGTTTCTTGGGTGTCATCTTCTGTAGGAAAAATCTCACATTCAGTACAGCGGCATGTTGTATTATCAAAGATGTGTTTCAGGCAAAGTTAGAATAATCGAAACAATGTGTACATAATAACAAGTTTTGATGTATCATCTAAAAATTAAATAGACTGGAAAAATCGATATAAAAAAAATTGCAAAACTTAAATTAAAATTTTGAACTTTAAATTGCCCATGAATTATGAAAGCATTTCCATACTGTATTAAGAATATTGCAAAATTGACACTTTCTATCTTTCTCATACTATTTTAATGAAATACTGTAAATGTTTTATATTTAGAGTGTACTATATTTGGCGGAAGTTGATATTTTAATAAGTTAGCGTAGTTATGATTTAGCGCATTTTAATGTTTTATGTTTAAGTCATTTAGTGTTGTACTTAAATTAGCGGATGTTTCTTTCCGCCAAAAAGCTAAAAAGAATACACCGCCAAATGTTACACGTTTACAGTAATAACTCTGATTTGCAAATTATGTCTGAGAAAAATCATTCTCCTTTATATCTTGCATGTAACACTAATTTAAAAACTAAGTGACAATTGGAAATGTAAATTATAATAATATATAGGTCTTAAGCTCCATACTCCTCCAATGAACATTTTATATACATGTATGATAATATAAGTCATCAATTTTTTAAATTTATTTCTCTTTTTCCATAGTGCATGTAGGTGTCATATAATATTTCATGGGTTTTATTATTGTATTCTTTAGTTTACACGAACCTATTTTCATTCTGAATCTCAATTTGTATTATATTGTAGTACAAAAATGTACTATTGTGTATTTCTTAAAACTGAAGAATTGATTCTATAATAGGGATTTGTCTAGTAACCCTAATTCCTGCATCATTCTCTACTTTAAAGATAAAGACTTGATGTCTTCCTGGCCCCAGCTCACATTGTAATTGTTATTAATCACTGCCAATCATATATGCTCATGGAACACTAGCTATAGGCGATCAGCTCTGGCAACTATCTGTCCCCTGTGACTTCATGGACAGTAAAGATCAGTGCTGATGCTATGATGACTTGATCGTGTTATAGATAAACATGTCTCTGCAGTCAGAAGATTGAAGCAATTTACATTGTAGAACAGAACTCAAACAGTGAGAGAATTAAGATCTTGTTAGAGTTTTAAATTTTACTCCTTAAAATTTGGATAGTTTCAATATATTTAAAAAACAAAAAATGTAATGAAATTTATATACGCTGTAAAACTTTACTAATTATTCTAGTTCGGGAATAACAAATCTCAGGCTAAAATCTGGTTTGTACATATTAAATGCAAAGAAACATTCCACAGAATTATTTTGTAAAAAAAAAATAATAATAATGTGAAAACAACATCTCCTGCACTTAATTGTCAGATCTTAAGGAAGCAGGAATAAGAATCCATATTTCCCAAAAAAAAGCCCTTAAAAAATGTTTTATTGATTTAGAATATTTTATTAAATTATTAGCACATGTATTAAAAGAAATTTTGTACTGAGTAATACAGTTCTACAATTTTTTATTTTTATTGATTGGCAATTGCTCATCTTCCTTCCCCCTTTTCAAAGTTAGATACTTTGATTATGAAACTATCTTTGATTTAATTGTTAATTTCAGAAACATGCACTCTGAATTTCACAGATTTCCTATATCTTGGATTGCAGTGTGGGTCATTTGGGATTTAATAATTTAGCCAGCTGCAGCAAGGTCAAAAGTCTATGTTATCTGTAAAACTAGAGGTCAATTTATATAACCCCGGTCTTATCTGCTTTCATTATGTAGAAATAATTTAAGAAGATTTTCTTCAACTCTTTGAAATTACATTCACCAACACTGGAACACTGAGTTTCTAAGAATAAGAATTTCATTGGTGTACATATCAGGCATGTGTTATAAAAATGAACCTTTCTTATGAAACTGAATAGTGCATTTTTTCTCCGCTTTAACCTAATAAATAAATAAAACAAAATTACGGCTATATGCATAAAATGATGGAAGTATCAACTAGTGAAACCGTTACTCGTATTTTTAGTAATACTATTTTTCTTTTATCAGGAACCGGACACTGAGTACACAAGACATGATCTGCCGATCGATAATACATATAAAATGTTTAACTAATATACATTTTTTTTAAGATCTGAATTAAAAATAATTATTTATAATTAGATAATGCATATACTTAAGTTATTGTTAAAGTATTAAACTACATGTAATCCTTAACAATAGGTGTATGTAGGAATATAAACAAGATGCCCCCTTTGGATTTTTTTTTAGAATAAAATATATTTTTCAGTGGGATAGTGATGATTGACAACTAAAAGAAACTTCATATTCACTCTATTTTGGACTGCATTCCACTTTGATTAATATTAAAAATCTATTAAAACAATTAATGCAATACATAAAATGTGAGTTTGTAATAAATTATTTATTTATTTTTTGTTTTTAGAAAAGATTAATATATAGAATGACAAAAAAACCCTTTAAGATAAAGGTTTTGTTATATATGTTTCTTTAAATTGTATACATGTACTTAAGCTTTGATCATAATCCTTGCAGTTGACAACACAACAAAATATGCCTAGAATTTTTATAAAAATAGAAAAAAATTTCCCGGTAAATTGTTTCAAAAAAGTGAATAAAAATCTTTTATAATTAGTTTTTTTTTAAATTTTATCCTTATTATTCTAACCGCAGCATATAGTTTAAAAGGATACAATATTAAGTATAACTAGAACTGTCCAAAAAAGTGCTGGGTTTTTCAGAAGTAAGTTCTTTATAATAATATGTATTTATTTTTTCTTCCAGTGACCTTAAACTTCCCCAACACACCCTTGGGTCATTTTATCCTTATTAAATTTTTTTCCAGTGACCTTTTAACCTTGGGTCAAGGTCATGACACACCCTTGCAGCATATAGTTTAAAAGGATACAAATATTGTTCCCCAGTATGACACACCCTAATAAATTACCAAGTTTATCCATAAGAAAGATATGAACGAATTTGTTTTTCTTCCAGTGACCTTGAACTTCCCCAAATGACCTTGGGTCAAGGTCATGACACACCCTTTGGAGTAGTAGATTCTAATGTCCCTCTGTAAGAAAGATATGGACCGGACACGATTGCACAGACAGACGGACAGACGGACAGACAGACAGACGGACAAGGTGATTCCTATATACCCCCCCAAACTTCGTTTGCGGGGGGTATAATAATTTATTGAATTTGTGTCTTTTTTTCCATAAAATTTCAAGATAACCAATTTATAGTAAAATTTTAACATATTCTTTTAGCAGGGTATGATATCAGACAAGGTCACTATATTGCTAGCAAAGAAAAACACATGATTTTAATATATTAAGTACTCCTGTTCATACACACAAGTAAAAGAGCTAACAATATCTTGGGAAAGAATAAACATTTGACCAGTGACCACTTAGTGAAGCCGACGAAGCGATAATTGTCTCAGAGTTTAAGATTTCAGCATTGGCTATACATAAACAAACTATACGGCTCTGTTTCATCTAAACACATTAATTCTTTGACACACTAGATTATTCCTTTGAGCCTCGTTGAATGTGTTCTGCTCTGCTCTAAAACCATCAGAATTAACAGTGCTGAGCATCTAGTCAAGCACGGATGATTTTTGGATTGAACTAGGTGAAACACAGCTATTGTTCTCTTTATCAAATCAATTAATGTTTTATTAAAAAAAAGTAAATAAGACACTGACTTGGCATATAAAATATACCTGAGGTCTGTCCAAAACTTTAATTCAATATAGAGTGTACGTCTCTTATCAATAATGTATAGTTAATACATGGACATGTTAAATCATGCCAGTTTACAAATGAAAAATATACCCGGTAATACAAATTAAAAACACTACATAAATATATATATTTTGCATAGTTTTAGAAAGTATATAGGATACGTTCAGTGGCAAGGGGGGGGGGGGGGGGGGTAATTTTTTAAGGAGCAAATTCTCAATCAAAGTTTCCTGTGTTAGGAAGCCAAAAAAATTAGTATGGGCATGGACCCCACCCATCCCCACTCCCACACCCCCAAAAATAAATAAATAAATTGAGATTGAGATAAGTAAATGATGAATAATAAAAAAAAAATAACAAAATACAGTAAAACATGATTTTTGCCAACACACTTATGTTGAATTGAGTTACAGCGAAGTGCTTTTATTCCCTGTGACTTAATTATGTATTTTTATCTTCATAACGAATTTCGCTCATAATAATGCAAAATCATCCGTCGATCCCTGGCACTGCTTTTTAAACATGTTTTACTTGTATTCAATATAATTAATCTATTTCCTGCCATGTACAGCATTTGAAAACATATATTATATAGGAATTCATAGAATTTCTAATTTTCCCAACTAATAATGAAAATTATGACTACGGTACTTACTTGATTTGTTTACGACACTTTAATCATTTCTCTGAAATGTTGCTGCAAGTGGTGTCATGAGGGTATTCTTTTTCTTTTACATTGAAATCCAGGGCATATCATTTTGTCTAAAATTAAAGTAAATTTTTCATTTTAATTTACTGGTATTTGGAAGTGTCTGACAGCTTATATTTCAGCAGGATTGATCAACTCTGACTAAGTTATTGATAAAATATTTTAGTTTAGTTTTTATGCAAACAAAGCATACAAAGAATTTTCATAAATTGATAATAATATTATTTGCATATATACCTTAATAAATCCTTAACTGTGAAGAACTGCAACATCCTGTTTTATTCAACAATCTTTCGATGTGATAATCATCTTCTGATTTGAAATCGTGAACATTTTGGTAGGGTTGAGAGATGGATGTGTCCAAGACTGATAACACACCCAAGATTATCAGTGTGCAGTGTTTTGATTGACATTTCTTCAGTTAGTGGCACCACATGTTTCCATTCAAATATGTATGGAAGGGTCGCAGTTGCACATGTGAACAGCTATCATTTAAATGCAACTGTCGTTTGAAGGGGAATTCGAAATTGGAGAAATTAGACATTGATATATCTGTGTGTTATACTGTGTTATACTGTGATAAAGTTATATAATTAGTTTTGGTCAAAAAACTGCGTGATGAAGTAAGTAGAGACACATGCATGATTTTCAAATGTCAATGGATGTTCAACTTATAGAGAATTTACTGGTCAATGCACTGACTTTTCATAAATTAATCTTGGATGAACTATACTAAAAAGCTAAGGGTAAGATTCTTTTCCTGAAAGATTTTTTCATTTAATAAATATCATAAAATTTCAATTGTTAAAGAAAATTGTTTATTTTAGTGTAAGAAAGCATTGCTTTATACAACAGTTTTATATCATAATAGTAAATGCAGGGGACCAGGGGAATGGTATAACTTTTTTGATCAATTCCTTGTTGTAGATTTATGTCTCTTGCACGATTCAAACAGTTGCCCTTTTTTCTCATTTAAAATAAAAATAAACATTTACTCTTTATTCAGCATGAGATATACATTCCTATATGATATCCAGAGAAGTGACCTCAAAATAAAATGTGATCATGTATACTCCTAAAGGAGTGGTACCAACGAGTTTAATGTCTGTAATAATAAGAGGCTTTTCACAAAATTGAGTGAAAAATGATTTCCTAAAATATTAATTGTCAAGAATGACATGTACTTGATCTTGTGATCAGTTATGACCCCCAAATTAAAAGTTGTCATATATTTCTTAGGAGGACTACAGATCTAGTGCATTAAATTATTTTTCAAACAGTAGAAATCTCAAGTTACTTAAATATTGAGTAAACAATACTTTTCTATTTCTAGATCAGTTTGAGCCTTGTGCTTTCACCTTGTAACCCAAAATCAGTAGGGGTCTTTATTCCTTTGGGAGTACCAGTATACTAAGTTTGATGTCTGTAAAGCAAAGGGTTCCCAAAATTTTAAGCAGACATTATTTTTCTGTGTCAGAATATTCTCAACCTTGAAATTTGACTTTATGAAATCAACAGGATTATCTGCTCTTTTACGTTAGGGAGTACCTGGGTGTACAGCTTTCTTCAAATCCAATTATACTCTGATTCATGTATAAAGTTATATAATAACATTTGAAATCAGAAGAGGAGTATTCTGACATGAATCCATTGTCAACAGTTGGAAGAGGAATGTTTGTCCAGTCCAGTGTCAAATTTTGAAATGGGGAGAAGAACATTCGTTGTATTAAGATTCATGGTAGTAGTGTTTTGATAGGAATTGGTAGAGGAATGTTCCTCAAATGTACTGTTTATATACATGTAGTATGTATTATCAATTGAAATTGACTGATGAACGTTTGTGATATTGTGTGTTAAAACTTGTAAATACAGTGTCAAGTTGAAAGAGGAACGTTCCTCCAGTGTATATAGTATCAATATTTGAAATTGGATGAGGAACGTTCCTCAAATATGTTGTGTTTAGACTAGTAAATCCAGTGTCAATAGTTTGAAGAGGAACGTTTCCTCCAGTGTACATGGTGTATATAGTATCAATATTTGAAATTGGAGGAGGACCGTTCCTCTAATGCCTAATATTTGAAAATTTATGAGATGCCTACGGTAATAAGTAAATTTGAGAGATGAATGTTCCTCAAATGCCTGATGTGTTCATTCATAAGGTATTTAAAAATACAAACTGTATGTGCACATCTGTAAGAGAGGAACGTTACTCAAATGTCTGGTGATAATAAATGCATCTTAGTTTAGAGAGGGGAATGTTCCTCAAATGTCTGTTCATAACAAATGCATCAGAAGTACAGAGAGAGGAACGTTCCTCAAATCTCTGGTCAGAACAAATGCATCTGAAGTTCGAGAGAGGAACGTTCCTCAAAAGTTTGGTCATAACAAATGCACCAGAACTTCAGAGAGAGGAACGTTCCTCAAATCTCTGGTCATAACAAATGCATCTGAAGTGTAGAAAGAGGAACGTTCCTCAAAAGTCTGGTCATAACAAATGCATCTGAAGTTCAGAGAGAGGAACGTTCCTCAAATCTCTGGTCATAACAAATGCATCTGAAGTGTAGAAAGAGGAACGTTCCTCAAAAGTCTGGTCATAACAAATGCATCTGAAGTGTAGAAAGAGGAACGTTCCTCAAATACTTAAAAAAAATCTTCAAAAAGGGAACTTGTGGAGACAGATATAAGGATTTTAAGACCAAAATGACTTCAGATTGTAAACGTTGGGTGAAAAAAAAGGAATTTTGATTTTCCCTTTTTGTTTTGGATTGTGTTTTATACAACACCTGACAACATTTTATCAAGGTATTTATATAACACCTGACAACATAGGATCAAGGTATTTATACAACACCTGACAACATTATATCAAGGTACATCATATAATACATGACAACATTGGATCAAGGAACATAATGTAACAACTGACAACATTGTATCAAAGTGCTTCATATAAAACCTGACAACATTATATAAAGGTACGTCTTAAAACACCTGACAACATTGTATCAAGGTACATCATATACACCTAACAACATTGTATCAAGGTAGTCATATAACACAGGTCTGACATATTCCATGTAAAATGCACAAAATGACTCCCATGAGGAGAAATTTTTCAAAATGTTAGTTTGGTTGATTTTTGCATTGAAAGTGATAATATGTACATCAAAAGAGAAAAATATGTAAAAATTAAAATTATGGACCCTTTAAATAACTAATTATTTTAATTTCAAAATGTTGTTGCAATTGTCACACTTTTTGACGGATTGTTTGACGGAAAATGTGACATTAGAAATTCAAAGAAATGCAAATTCCTAAATCATCTTTGATGATATTAACTTTAACATTATCCTATTCACTAACTGTGAAAATTATATAAATACATTTATATTTTTGTTTTAGTTTGCATCAACAGATTTCTTAAAACTGTTGTTTGTTTCTGTTGCTAGTGTCAATTTTTGACGGATATTCGTGAGGCTAATGTTGTTGTTTGACAGAAACACAATTTGCTAACTAGCACATTGATGGAACTGCAGAATGCTACTGTCAATTTTTGATGGAAAAACATATTGCTAATTGAAATTAGACAGACATATTGTTGCTAATATCAGTGTCTGACAGGCATTGTCCTTGTTTACTGTGCATCCATTTATAATGAAAGAGATTCTAGAGATTTTTATCCCTTTTGTCTTTAGACAGACATGTATAAATAAATACATCAAAGAAAAAACACAAAATGGTGTCAAAGATATTTAATGATGAGGTGATTTAAAGTATAATTTCATTCATTCATTTCATTTCCTCTAAAGGTCTTCTCTGTCTCTTTGGTAAATCCTGTTGAAAGAAGTCATTCATGATATTGAATCTATTTCACACTTGCCAGTACTCAACTTTTGTCAAAAATTAATATCTGTGAAAAATTTCACCCAAGTTTACTATACTTAACAGCTTAATATCATTATCACTACCCCTATAGATACTTACGATAGTATACACGAGACCCTCTCATCTCCACGGATGGGACATCAATCAGCCTCAAAACATCTGAGGGGAGAAGTGTGTGGAGTATTGCCCCCTCCACCCAAAGTTTTACAGACTTTTTGAAGTCCATAAAACGAACATACGGCCAATGATCAACCTGTTCAAAAGCAAAGACATATTTTAACTATTTGTTTGATCCATTTACATGTACATGTACAGTATTAAATACACCTATAGTTAAATGACATTTCAAGTTTTTTTACTTATAAGCCTAATAAATAGAGTTCTGTGTATAAATGTGCATCTGCAAAAAAAAAAACCATTAAAAAATGAGTTCAATTAAAGCCTTCAAGTTAGTGAATTTTCAAACTAATTTCATGAAACTCAATGAAACAAACTTTAAAAAACATTAATAATAAAAGGAAATTAGAATCCAATATCAATTTCTGGACTTACAACTGCAGGAATTATATTTGAACCATGTAATACAGCAATGAATGTCCCTGAAGAGTAGCTTTAAAAAATTGCAAGGCAAGAACATGATAAAAACCATCCATGTATTATGCATTTCTAATTTGGGCATGTAACAGAGATCAAAACTTTTAAAGATATACCTTTGATTCTGGATCTGTGGGTCAACACTGGACACTGAAAATGGACTACCAGGAAGTAGTGGAGACAAGTCCTGTGCTTGCAACTGGTCTACTGGAAAGCTGAAGAAATGTTGCATTAATTAAAGCTTTAAAGTTACCTGTGTACACTTTCTTTTTACTAAAATTTACACGCTTTAGTTTCCAATATATCAAGTACTGTACAAATACTGTATAAATTGCAATATACAGTATATATTCACCTCTCAGTCGGACCAGTTTCATCACGTTTGGTTAGTTCACACAGAATGTCTGGAAATATCCTTTAATATAAATTACATCTAGTTAGCTCTATGGCACAGAGATGTAAAGCAACTTTAACTTGATTCAACAATATATAGAATTACTTCACCACTGCCATAATAAATATGTGTTACATGTACTCACCTCTCAGGCGAGTCAGAAACATCAACTGCAGATTGTTGAAATGGAATCTCTGGGGAAAGCCTTTTAACATAAATTATATCTAGTTAGCTGTTTTTAAGCACACGGCATACATGTACATAGAAGTTGTTAATTATCTTTGTCAACTTTGTACAACATTGATTTGCAACATCGCTGGTTGCTATGTCATTCTAAATGTATCAATGATCCCTATGATGTTAGGTTCAAAATTTACCTAATGAAATACAAATGATATTTATTTTCAAATAAAGTGATAAGTAATGAATATAATATCAAACCAATGTATATGTGGTTCAGCCCCCCCCCGTTTCATATGTTTCTTACATAGTTAGTAAAATATAAAGTGTAAGCTAACCCAACCCATGTTTTATTCGAATATATTGGTTTGATATCATAATTCCTCCATTTATTACCAGTGTTGACACCATGAGAATAAACACTGCTCAAATTCTAATGCATATCGATTATAAGTGATTTCAATTCAACTGTTCAATAGTTACAGGTAAATTTATTAAATATTTTCTGTTCAACTTTATAGAAAATAAAAAAGTCCGTCAAATGTGTGACATTCGCAAATTAAAAGCCGTCAAAAACTGACGTTAGCAGAAGTCATCCTCTGTAACTTGCATGTATTGATGTAAATGGCGCCGATTTTTTTATTATGGTTGCAAAGAATGCATTAGAAAGTTATTCAGTTGAAAAAACTCTGAGAAAACGTAGCTTAAAACGCAAAACGGTCATTTAAATTGCTAGCGTCACAACGTAGCTAACGTCATATATTTTGACAGACGATATACAAGGGCGGATTCAGGGGGGTTTGGGGGGGTTCGGGAAAACCCCCCCGCTCATTGAATTTTTTTTTTTTTTACATGTGTCATTTTATCATTTTGTTGCATTGATAAGACTCTAATATACACGAATCCATTGTTCTGTACAACTGTGAAATATACCTCAGGCACGTAACAGGAAATCACTTTCCACTTGAACGCACACAATACACAGGTAATCAACAGAGAGAGGGGTAATCCGTGAATCTAGTGAAGTCACAAGATCATCGTGCAATACAATGTAGTCAAGTATCAACAACAGAAAACTGCATAGTTACGGTGCTGCTCAGTAATATTCCTTTGCTGATAAAATGCATGTTTGTTTTTTTATATTAACTATTTGAATAAACTATTATATAGGGTTTTTTATTTACCGTTTTAAAAATTAAATTAATACATTTTTTTTTACATCATATTGACAGTATACTCAAGTAAATTGAAAAGCACTAATTAGGAATTCTGAAAAGAATCCAATGTTTGGTTTTTTGAAAGTGTTTAAAATTGCACATCAGTTGTATCTTAGAAGTCAGCTTGACTAAATTAATTGAAAATGCATTTAAAAGACAACTTGAAGTCAACTGCTTGTATTCTTAAAATTGTCAGATGTAACAATTTTTTAAAGCAAAGTCTAATGTAATTAACTAATTTGAAACATTTTATTTATCTAAATTCTTAAATATTTGTGATGATTGGTCCTTAAAAAAGCTACAAAAAGTACAAGAAATGCTGGAAAATGCACCATTTTAGAACTATTTAAAACAATTTTTTTCGGGGGGGGGGGGGGGAGCCCCCCCACTCCATTTTTTTAAACAAGGTCTAAAGTCTTGTGTTAAAGTTAAATCAAATTGAAACATTTTATTTTTCTGGATTCTTAAAAATTTGTGATGATTGGTCTTTAAAAAAGCTACAAAAAGTACAAAAGAATGCTGGAAAATGCACCATTTAGAACCATTTAAAACAATTTTTTCGGGGGGAGCCCCCCACTCCATTTTTTTAAACAAGGTCTAAAGTCTTGTGTTAAAGTTAAATCAAATTGAAACATTTTATTTTTCTGGATTCTTAAAAATTTGTGATGATTGGTCTTTAAAAAAGCTACAAAAAGTACAAAAGAATGCTGGAAAATGCACCATTTAGAACCATTTAAAACAATTTTTTCGGGGGGAGCCCCCCACTCCATTTTTTTAAACAAGGTCTAAAGTCTTGTGTTAAAGTAAAATCAAATTGAAACATTTTATATTTCTGGATTCTTAAAAATTTGTGATGATTGGCCTTTAAAAAAGCTACAAAAAGTACAAAAGAATGCTGGAAAATGCACCATTTAGAACCATTGAAAACAAAATTTTCTCGGGGGAGGCCCCCCAAACCCCCACCTATGGGAGGGGGACACCCCCTCCCATGCCCTCCCCCTTCGGCCCTTTGGGCCTTAAACCACCCCCCCCCCCACATGAACTTCTGGATCCGCCACTGATTACCGTCTTCCTTGGAAGACGGTATTGTATAGTTGAAGTTTTTTACAGTCTTCGGACTATGCACTTCCTCTCTTTTGTGATTGGTAGAAATTGCATGATGAGAAAATTTTCAATTATTTCATTGGTTGAAATGCTGTTCAAGGCAAGGGAGATAACTTTCTGATGATCTAATTTTCGTACGACTTAACAATTTTGCAAGATTTTCAATCTTAAAAAAATGACAAAACGAATAACAAAATCAGCAGTAGTTAATTCTTAATAACATGATATTTCTTTATTGCAATAAAATTAAAAGGTCTCTTTAAGTTCATTATAAATAAAATTTGATTTTTATTGCTTGCAGGCTTTACAATTTGTTATTATTCTTTTCCCCTTTCTTGTTTGAAGAAGGGAATGGAACCAGCCGAGGTTTGCCGAAAGCTCTCGGCCAGTCAAAGTTTACGGAGATGACCGAGCGACAACCGTGGTAGGGCTAATGCCATTAAAAGCTAATGTAGAAATACAAAATCAAGAAATTCAAAAGAATTATACGCCCTGATAGGTGTAGATTAGTTTACTGTTTAAGATTGTTGCTAAAGACGGTAAGCTTTTTTAAAAAGCTCTACTTGTATATTCTTTGAAGTTTACATGCACAAATCGTTGCTACTTCTTGCAAGCCATTATTGAACCGGAAACGGTGAAGAAATCGCCTTCTTTCAACGAGAGTTGTTATGATAACAAAGAGCTGCAACTCGTACGATCGAAGAAGTAAAGTTTATGCGAACGTCACATTGCAGCAAAAAGAGTTTGACAGAATGACGATAGCATTTACATTATCACGCTTTTATTCATGAATTGTTTTCTGAATTAGTTTAAATGAAGTGAAATGTATAGAAAATGATATCTACATACATTATATTCTTTCTAGAACTTTAAAATTTACCTGTAGGCCTATACTTAAATTTTCTACACTTGATCTAACGTCATAACATTTGACAGATGCGAACAAAAAAAAAATGCATTTTTTAATCTAAAAGTTATTGACATACATTTCAGAATCAAGATCGCAATTTTTGTTTAAAATAACGTTAACTATACATACCATTATTACAAAAGGACTTCTTCCATGTTTTCTTCTCTCAAAATGAAATATTGATTGATAAACCCAGGTACAACAAACACGGGAGTTGATTCCGTCGAAATTCAATCAGTTTAGAAATTTCATGATTCAATTTCAGATTAAAATCTTCAAACTTCCGCCGATGTTTTTAATTTTATAATTAAATCTATGTAATCAAAATGTAATTAAAAATACAAGAAATTGTTTTCAAGTATATTTATTGTAAAAATCTTTGTTAAAAAAATTGACGGACATTTTTGCTAATTTCGTGGAATATGTCATCTGACAACATTGTATCAAAGTACATCATATAACACCTGAAAACACTGTATCAAGGAATTTATATTATATTATATTTATGTACCACCTGACAACATTGTATTAAAGAACAATTTTATAGTCAACTCAATCAAACCTATTCTATGGTACAAGTGTTGATATCTAATTTCTGTTGCTAGTATATTGATTAAATATTTATAGTAGTTTACTTAAAACATTTATACTCAGTTCCTTTAAACAGTGTAAATTGAAAAATCTCTATCTCTGAAACTATAATTCTTTTAATTGTACAGAAATTTCAGATGCAGTATTGTTTATAAACATTTAATTAATATTTTGTTTCATTAAAAAATATTGTCAAGGGTGATAATGGAACGATAACTCTTTTTTATGGATGCGTGTTATTTTACATGCACAGAAAACAATTTGTTATTCTGATTTAAAAAGCAGCGCTTCAGTATGTTTTCTAATGGGAGTTAGATAGGTATGAGAGTAAATATTATTTTTATATATACCTCATTTTTCTAATTTAATTGTGAGATGAGAAATAATTTATCTTTCTATTTACCATATTAAATTTCCTTCACATCATGGTTTGATATATTATTCATTTCTGAAAAAGTAAGCAACGCTTCATACTTCAAACTATTTTCCATTTGAATTTAATGCTATAGTTGTTGCTGAAAATCAATGTCTGGATTTTTAAAAAAAGAGTCGTGAAATTTGGAGCAGAGGGATATTGTCCCTTAAGGTACATCTTATAACAACTGACAACATTGTTTCAAGATATTTATATAACACCTGAAAACGTTATATCAAGGAATTCTTATAACACATGCTAAAATTGTATCAAGGTACATCACATAAAACCTGACAACATTGTATCAAGGTATTTATATGATGCCTGACAACATTGTATCAAGGTATTTATACAACACCTGACAACATTTTTTCAAGGTACAATTATTACACTTGACAACATTGTATCAAGGTTTTTATTAGGTCACCTGAGTTACTCAGGTGACCTATTGCTATCCGTTTTCATCCATCGTCGTGTGTCGTGCGCCGTGTGTTAACATTTGAACATTTTCAGCTTCTTCTCTGAAACCACTGAACCAATTTCAACCAAATTTGGTATACAGCATCTATGGGTAAAGGGGAACAAAAATTGTGAATTTTATGGTCCCCGCCCATCTGGGGCCTGAGGGGTGGGGCCAAAACCACTAAAATTATTGCAATCTTTAAAAATCTTCTTCTTTACACCTGGACATCAAGCAGGCAAACTGTTGGCATGAGTGTAATAAGCATTGAGTCCTCTACCAAAATTGTGAAATTCATGGCCCCAGGGTCAGGGGTTCAAGTGCTAGGGCAGATTATATAGTGAAAATGCATGATTTCTTTGAAAATCTTCTTCTCTGCTTCTGGAAATTAAATAAAATAACTAAGTACATAGTTATGATGAGCAAGAGTGCCTCTTCCAAAATTGTGAATTTTATGGCCCCAGGGTCAGGGGTTCTAGTGCTAGGGCGGGGCTACATAGATTATATAGTGAAAATGCATGATTTCTTTGAAAATCTTCTTCTCTGCTTCTGAAAATTAAATAAACAAACTAAGTACAGTTATGATGAGCAAGAGTGCCTCTTCCAAAATTGTGAATTTTATGGCCCCAGGGTCAGGGGTTCTGGTGTTAGGGCGGGGCTCTATTGGTTATATTGTGAAAATACATTTACTCTTTGAAAATCTTCTTCTCTGCTTCTGGGTATTAAATAAACTAACTAAGTACATAGTTATGATGAGCAAGAGTGCCTCTTCCAAAATTGTGAATTTTATGGCCCCCGAGTCAAGGGTTCTGGTGTTAGGGCAGGGCTCTATTGATTATATAGTGAAAATGCATTTACTCTTTGAAAATCTTCTTCTCTGCTTCTGGGTATTTAATAAACTAAGTACATAGTTATGATGAGCAAGAGTGCCTCTTCCAATATTGTGAATTTTATGGCCCCAGGGTCAGGGGTTCTGGTGTTAGGGCGGGGCTCTATTGATTATATTGTGAAAATACATTTATTCTTTGAAAATCTTTCCTTTGCTCCTGGGTTTTATGCCAATGATCCAAGAATATATAATATTTATGATGAAGAAAGGTGCATCTAGCAAAATGGTTATTTTTTATGCCCCCCCTCCTGGGTCAGGGTAGGGGGGAGGGGTACATAGTCTGAAAATAAATTAATGCTTTGAAATCTGCTCTTTGGTATTAATCAACCATTTTATGATAAAATTTGCAAAATTTTGAAATATGTGGCCCCAAGGTCAGTGGTTCCTTTGGGATGATGTGCACAACTGCTTATAAAGTGGAAGTGCATTTTCTCTTTATTACTCTGATCTACCTTTGGGTATTAAGTACCATGGTAAATAGAGTAAGTAAGTAAGTAAGTCTATAATTATGATAAGCAATGGTGTCTCTTTCAAAATTGTGAATTGTGAATTTCATGGCCTCTGGTTTAAAACACGAACCAAATTTAATTGTTTGAAAGTTGTTGCACAATACTCAGGTGACCTATAAGGCCCGTGGGCCTCTTGTATACATGTTACATCTGAAACATTGTTATTAGATACTTTATGTTACAACATTATATATATCAGGGTATTTATATAACATATGACAACATAGTATCAAAGTAGTTATATAACACATGACAACATTGTATCCAGGTAGATCATATATAACACCTGAAAATGTTTGTATCAAGGTATTTATATAACACCTGACAACATTGTATCAAGGTATTTATATAACACCTGACAACATTGTATCAAGGTATTTATATAACACCTGACAACATTGTATCAAGGTAGATCAAATATAACACCTGACAACATTGTTTCAAGGTATTCATGAAACACCTGACATCATTGAAATTAGATACTTCATGTAACACCTGACAACATTGTATCAAGGTAATCATATAACACCTGACAACATTGTATCAAGGTATTTATATAACACCTGACAACATTATATCAAGGTATTCATATAACACCTGACAACATTGTAACAAGGTATTCATATAACACCTGACAACATTGTATCAAGTTACATCATGTACACCTGACAACATTGTAACAAGGTATGAATATAACACCTGACAACATTGTATCAAGTTACATCATGTACACCTGACAACATTGTGTCAAGGTACTTCATATAACACCTGACAACATTGTATCAAGGTACATCATATAACACCTGACAACATTGTAAGGAGGTAGAATATAACACTTGACAACATTGTATCAAGGTATGAAAATAACACCTGACAACACTGTATCAAGATAAATCATTTAACATCTTACAGCATTGTAGCAAGGTACATCATTTACATTATATACTTGACAACATTGTAGTGTACAATTTCACTTGATTTGTCAAACATACAGAGTTATCTCTCTTACTCCCTGTACTTATTTAGCAAACTTTGATCTGGATTTTCTGTGGTGAGAAAGTTTGCAAAATTGTAGCACTACAATTATTTGACATTTAACTTACTTCAAACTACAGACTTTTACTTTAAGTTGTGTCATTTGATTTTTGAATGGAAGGACTTCGATGATAAATAACATTTTTATGAAATGTTTTTGATCCCAAAATATTCCTCTAAAGTCAGATATTATAATCTTATTTGAGATTTTACTGAGTTTAAAGTTGTGTTCCAAAATCAGACTAAAATTACTCTTTATCTGTGAAACTATAAAAATTACACAATAATAAGTAAACTATATAACAATTTCAAAAAAATTCTGGTTAATATTCTTTCCTCCTTCATGTACCAAGTCATCATTTGAACAGTCTATTTTTGAAAAATATATTTGTACTTTATTTTGGCAAATGCGGAAATTTGTGCACCTTGCCAAGGAAGTTAGCTATACCAGGATGAAAATAAATCAAGATAGGCATGTTATACATTTGAGTGTAGTTTATTTATATGCTCCACTAGTCAAAAAAGTAGAATACTATAGATTCCTTAATGTTTTGCTAATACTTAACGTCAAATCTTGAGAATAATAATTTGAGAAAAGATGGTTGATTAAGAAAATTATTGTGCGTTTCAGTGCCATAAAAATAAAAGCAAGTAATTTTATTTCATGAGTGAAGCATCTCTCAAAATTAAGCAAATTTGAATTTCTCGCGTATAATAAGGAATCTACAGTATTACTTTCATTAGTTGATATCATGTTTTGAGGAGGGCAAGCTTTTTGCTGTATATGCATTCTGAAAATGGGAATCATTATTAGCTCTATTCACTTATACTTTGAAATTTATAATTTATTTGATTTTACCACATGATTTTTATTGAACAAAATATGAAATATTTGTAAAGCCAAAAATGTAATGCCTTTATTTCTTGATGAAAAGTAATATAAAAAACAAAAATGAGTATTATATATGTTTTATAATTATTAGTTTCATAATTGAAGCACACGGTTAGAGGATTTTCCCTATGAAATGCCATATGGACTATGAGCTATAAATCAGACTTTCCCAGGAGTACAAAACTCTTCATTGTATGATCTAAAATTCAAAGTTCAGGCATTTGTACATAATTCAAGGGCTGCTTCTCTTAAATGAGCATTGATACTATGAAACAAACAATCACCTGTTCATTTGATTATCATTTAGCAGATTAAGTCAGCTCTATATATATTAATAATTTTTGTACTGCACTTGTATATTGAATCAACTGATTAATCATTATCATGCTTTAATAATGTGACATTTGAATCCTCAAAATATTATTTTAGACTTAGAATAGTAATTTACTATTTTAACTAACAGTCATTTTTTATTGAAAGTGATCTTTTAAGTGGATAATTAATATAATTGTTGCAAGCTAATTAAAGTGAGGAAATTATACTTAAGAGTACTTTATTTTGATAAGTAGAATTGTTTTTCATAAACACTTGACGATTTTAAAAAATGTACTTTGCATTTGTAACAAATATTCAGATATAAAATTTGTTCAAAAGAATTTTTTTGAAAATTTTAGTAATGCCATGTTGGCTTTTTCTTCCCTGTGTAAATCAGGACCAAGTTCATGTTCGAGATGTCCTCTTGTGTTTCCTATTTGATACTTCCTTTCTACATTCAGTTCCTGTTTTATTTTGTAGATTAGGAAAAAAGTACATTTTTGGAAAATCAGATAATATTCATAGTGTCAAAATACATGTTTATATGTATGTTTCACTTGAAGTCTGGATTCAAATCACAAAAATGAAACAGATTTCTGACCCAAATATGTAACAAATTGAATGCATTTTGTCAACTTTTTTAAATGTACAAGTAAACTTTTAAGTATTCAAATACTTTTATATACAAAGAATATTGAAATTTAATTGTTACATATCATTATATGAAAAAGCAGTCATGATATTTTATTATGATTTGTTTCTTAATTTATTTGCCCAGTTTTTAATTTTAATGATACATCAACACTTAATTGTATTTTGTATGTCCTGATAAGTATTAAAAAACAAAACTTTAATTTCCATGTTCTGCAGAGGTTTGAGTAATATGCTTGTGTGATTATTTAAGCTTTTAAATTCAGAGAAAATCACTACATAATAAGTTTACATTGTCTTTACATTTATTTTTGAAATGATAGATGAAATATATGGAGATAGCAAACAGTCTTCAAGCTCAAATGCCTATTAAAGTACTTTTGAAGCAAACTCCTTGCCATGATGGGGAAATAACAGAAAATTCTGAATATGCATTTTGAGACTAAGTTAACAGTCAACAGCACTGAATGTTAACTAGTTGATTCTGCTAAAAATGAATACTCATATACAGTAAGCTATCGCACATATTCTTACAAATGTTATTAGGGACAGTATTTCTTCACATGTAGTTTTTTCCTTCTGCTGCTGGTATCCTTCAAACATTTCCTTTTATAAATAGCCCTTTGTATTTGTCAGGAGGCTATATATCTGAAAGTGAGGCCCCTGAGATGGTCTGGGAGGTCATTTTGCAAATATGTTACAAACTTAAGGTTGATGTACCGGTATCTGTATTTTACCATGGCTACATAGCAGGGGCCCATCTTACAAAAGTACTTACATCTAAGACCCAAAACTTTGGTTGATTGTAAAATTTTGCAAAATTTATGATTGAGTTCAACATCCCTATCATGAAAATATCTGTCTAAATTTCTTTTCTAAAAAAGTTTAAAACTATCTTCATTTTGATGCAAACAAGTCCATGTATCATTCTGTATTTTACAGGTGGTTATATATCTGGGAGTGAGCCCCCTAAGATTATCCGGGAGGCCATTTTACAGCTGTGTTATGAACTTAAGGATGATGCTGTGGCCCTGGTAGATGCTATCGCTCCTACAGATTTCATCCTGAATTCCCCAATAGGAAAGTCTGACGGACAGGTAACAATCTCAATCTGTATTCTCAGAATCCAAGTTTGACAACAGTCCTTTGTGTTATTAAAAAGAGACACAATCTATATTGTTTTTCTTTTCTTCTTTAGATTTACAAGAACTTATACAGTGCAATGATTCAAGGACCCAATGCTCTAGAAAGGCCAACATACTGGAAAGAGTTTGTGGATAAACCTGTGATAGGTAGCAAGGCTAAATTATAAACTGGAACTCTTCTTGTGAGAACTATGATAAACAAGTCAAGGAATATTGTGTGTGATACATTTATCATCAGTGTGATTGATATTATGTACAACATATCAAAACAAAAACAAAAAAAAACATACAGTATACATATATGGTGAGATTTGACTCCATTAAGAGAAATGGGTGACCATAAGAGATACAGTACTGGAATGAAGTTATATGTACTTTGATAAATGGACTTTTGTAAAATGTCACTCATTTCAGACACTTTGAAATAACAAACACACATTTGTTAGTGGAAGGAGAAGAAGAGACAGTATATATTTTGAAATATGATGCAAAAGGACTTATACATTTCTGTTATTCACTGTCCATGTAAAGATGAAGTATAAATTTAGAATATTTATTTATTTGATTTACTCTTAATGTAAACCTGATGGCATGTTTTTTGAATATTTTTTCATGTATCTTAGTAATATACAAAAATAAAAAATATTTATTATTAATAACTACATGATTTCTAGACTTAGTTCAAAATGTCCAGAAAAATATTTTTTAATGTACATCAAAAGTTATTATTAGCAGTTTTCACGAATTCCAAAGAGCAAAAAAAGTCAACCATCCTCTGGAAACCTTTTGCTATATTAGTAATTCTTTAATCATAATCTCTTATCATTTTTTTTTAATATAGTGAAAGAATTTGTCTTCAGACCTTGAAGGTGTCTTTTAAAGATTTGTTTGTTTTTGTTGAAATACACAGAAGTATTATTGCAGTGCTAGACTGCATGAGTATTTAATGAATAATTACTGAGGAAAATTCCTTTAATGGGGATTTGCATTGCAGCTAAAGTTGTGTTTGTTTATAGAGGCATTGATGAACATATGAATAACTTGTTGAGATTCATTTCATAAAATCTATTTTACTTAGTATTCATTTTTTAAAGGTAGAGAAACTTTTTGAGAATCTTTTTAAAAGTAAACGAACCCAGTTTTTTAAATTTGAAATGTAATTTAAGGGAGTCTGTTGAAATAATGTACAATGTAGTTTATTGTAGACAGTTGTTCTGATGGTAAGATCAATTAAAACCCAGCTTGGTCAGCCATATTTAAAAGAAGGACAATCAAAATCATATTTTACGAAATATGCCATAAATAATGACATCTCGCCCACGAAAACACCAAAAGCAAAGTAACACAATTCTTTAAATTTAAAAATTTAAAATTTGTTATTCTTTAAAAACATCAAATCAGCATTGAGGAAAAACAGTCATTTAATGATGACAAATCCAACACATGTACTACAATTGATCTAAATTACGAACAGGGAGATCCCAGAGAAACGCAGTTAGACATATTGGCAAATTATATGATACGGATAGTGGGACCTCCTCACAATTCAAATAAAATAATTTTACATAGGAATGTCTGAGTATTAAATCATGTATAAGTACATTTCAAAAGAATGGGATCAACAGGTAAATATTTACACAGTAGTAAACAACAATGACAACGTGATCTCCCTGTGATGTAAAACCATAAAATCTGTAAAAATGAAGGTGAAATATATACAAACATTTGCTTTCCTTTAGGTTATACATTTGAAAATAAAATTCTGTAAAATTAAAGTTGGCATTATCAATTTTGGCACAAAATGTAATGGTTGTTAAGTACAGAACATTTGAGTTGGTCAATAATTCATAAATAGCTACATGACGGACCATTTAGTTTAAAAATAACCATAAAAATCAGTTCAAAAATAGAATTTATACCAAAAATAGAATGTTTGATACACCGATAACTATGTAATACAATCTATGCAATAACAAAAGTACCACTTGAGTATGAATTACATAATTATATAAATGTACTCCTTGTGACATCCTGAATCTCGTATACAATTGCTTTCATATTACTCAAAGTAAAGTGATTCGAACATTGCACATGTATATCAGGTGCTTAAGAACTCACTAGATTAAAGTTCATAAAAATAAAATCATATGGCTATGACAAATCTCTTAGATAATCAGCTAGAGTTCATTTAAGTCCTATATAACGCATTACTGTTTTTATTAATCTGGTCTGCATTTTCATAACTTGCAGATTTAAAGCATTATTTCCCTTAAAATATATTCTTTGCAAATGGGGATGAGAATTTGAGATCAGGTAAGGAATTATTGTATTAATCTGCTTCACTAATTGTAAAAGTGAGTAGTTTGAGGAGAAAACACCTTGAAGTCAAAGAAGAAACGTTAAACATTTTCACATTATACGTACTTCATATTCACATTTCCAGAAATTAGTTAAGAGATGAAACAGGTTACAATTCTTCGTAACAAACAATGATCGATCTTCAATCTATAAACAATACAAATCTGTGAGGAAGGCATAAAATTAATAAATACCTTTCAAACGAGTATAACATTAAAACATAACTAGCACCTATGTACTCTATATGATATATAACAACCCTCGATCTCTTCCCACCAATATATACTAACACTATGTCTTGAAAAATAAAAATAATAAATCTGCATTTACAGTTCTACAAATGGCAGTCTACACTACGCCTTTGAAACCATTCATATTTATTTGCAAATTGTAGCATTGAAATCTAAAAAAAATCAGTCAGCCAGATTTAGTTCAAGATTGCTAATATATAGAAAAAAAGAAGAAAGTATTGGAAGAGAAATTCTGACAAAGCAAATGTTGCTTTGGGTCACTAAATAGCGGTGTACTTTAATTAAAGTGTCAATTTTAATGAGAAAGAAGAATTTAAAGCCGTTCTATACTTTAAAAAGTATAGTTTACAAGTATTCGTTGACATTTTAAAATAAATATAATGATTTAAATATGGATTTCAGGATTCCTTTTCACTTGGATACAAATTGAAAATCTTCTTGATTTCTAATACAGTATCGGAAAAATAAGTTTGAATCAATTTTGATTTTTGGTGACAAAAGCATTTACCGGAACTTAACCGTAGTGAAAAGTTTTACTATATACATGTATTGTGATAAAAAAATGTTTATCTAGACTGATTTAGTAAAAATGTATTAAAATGTTCAAACACATTTGCAAAATACATTGGCCTTACAAGAAATTAATGGAACGTGCCTTTTAACAATTATGATAACATATTAAGACACTTAAATCACATTGGTACAATTTACATGTACATACATGTATTTAGTAAATAGCTCATTGTTCAGTTTGTATAGTAATATAACATATGATGACTAGATAAAATGTAACTTATAAAACAAATAATTGCACAGCTTTTATAATATATTAATATGATGACTAGACACACACGTGGAAGAGAAAAAAATACTGTGTTAAGGTTAGTCAACTAAACATGCAACATTTTGAATGTAACATTATGAGTAGAAAATAAGTTACATCAATGGTGTTTAGTTTTAGCACATAGCAAAAGACCCCTGGTTACTAAAAAATGGTTGATACATATATATGTATGGTGCATCTTGATCAGGTTGATATGGTATTGATAACTATATATATAGAAGCATTTTCCCTTCCTTTCTTATATATACCTTTTTAAATTATACATATGAATCAAATAAATTCAAAATGAAAACCTTTCTTATAATGATGAAATGAGATTTAAATTTGAACTTTTTCAGCGCATAGAACCTATATGTAATTTTGCGCTTTAATGATAATAATAATAATAATAATAATAATAATAATAATAACTACCCTTTATACATGTATATTGGATTCCGAAACTTCATAAAAATCCTTACAAAGATACATTGCGGGTTCCAGTAAATGTTCAACCAAGGCCTCTTTCGTTACTCCTCACTAAGATATTGACAGTAGTGAAGGAAAAATTTCAGGAGTACCGAGCAACAATATATTCAAGAAATGGTGTGAATCAGATGTGGATACTCAAAAATTCCAAAGAACTTTTGGACAATTTGAAATCACAAGATTTTACCTAAATCACCAGCTTAAAAACTTACGACTTTTCAACTTTATATAAAACCATTCCCCATGATAAATTAAAGTCCAGGCTTTTTGATATCATTGCTTTTTTAAATAAAAATGGAACTCGTAAATTTACATACCTGGTCATTGGTCATTTGCAAAATTATTTTATTAAAACACATTCTGATTGCACACACAAGTACTCTGAAGTTGACACCAAAAAGATTCTTGAGTTTCTGATTGACAATATCTATGTTGGTTTTGGAGAGCAGGTCTTTCAACAATCTATTGTAATTCCCATGAGTACCAATTGTGCTCTGTTATTAGCGGACCTATTTTTTATATTCATATGAAGCATAATTTGTGCAAAATCTTATGCGTGAAAACAAGAAAAGACTTGCTGTGGCCTTCAACTCGACATTTAGATAGATCGACGACGTATTGTCAATTTACAATGGTAATTTCCATTCCTACGTCGATACGATATATCCTGGTGAGCTTGAGATAAAAGATACCACAGAGTTTGACACATCTGTTTCATACTTGGATATTTTACTTGAAAAAGACGTTAATGGTAATCTAACAACCAAGCTATATGATAAACGTGATGACTTTAACTTCTCTATCGTCAACTTCCCTTTCTTATGTAGCAATATACCTTCATCACCTGCATACGGAGTGTATATATATATATCTCAGTTGTTCGATACGCAAGAGCTTGCTCTACGTATGAATAATTCCTGAAACGAGGTAAATTATTGACAAGCAAGTTGATGAAACAAGAATGTCAACCTCTCGTTTAAAGTCATCATTTCGTAAGTTCTATGGTCGATACAATGACCATGTCAGCAAATACAATTTATCATTGAATCAAATGCTGACTGGCGTTTTTCATACTAATTGTTATGTCATTATATATACAGTGAATTGACGACGGATTTTCCGTTATTTCCAGATCATGACAAGGAGCACACTGCGGGTGGGACCGGTCAGCAGGGGATGGCCACTCCACCATAGCACCTGATCCCACCTCTGATGTTTCGGAGGTCTGTGTTTGCTCTGCCCTTATTTTGTATTGTTTTATGGACTTTGAGATTGAATACTGTTCGTTATTTCCATATCCTTCATTTAAAAAAAAAATAACTGAAACATCTTAGTCACACAGTATGATGAGATCTAGTTGAAGTTTCATTTACTTTCCATTTGTAATCTTGCTCTCCAGGGAAGTACTAAATTAATGAATAAGAAAGAAAGCAAAAGCTAAGACCAGACTCACTCGTGGGACCGTTGAACCTAAAAAGAGAAGGAAATATCTTTTAATAAGCATAAGAATTTGGGGAAAAAATGTGCAGATTTTTTTAAATAGATTATGATAATCATATTCAAATACATGTATAAAAAATCATGCATGCAAAAAAAATGACTCATGACTCTTCAGGGAGTAAGTGTGTAGGTAAAGAAGAAAGGGGTGAAAGGAAAATCTTGGAAGATCTTAAACAAAGATAAGATATACCCCTCCCAAGAATATGAAGTTGAACCAGGAGTGTCTATATATGTTAAAAACAAAGGCCAAACATTGTTAGTTTATGAAATTTTATTTTTATGTATTTAAATAATGTTTTAGTTACAATTTGATAGATGCATCAAAAGTGTCCCCTCACCACTTTCTATCTACAGTTTTGTTTCAGACATCACTCTGTTCATATTTCCCACTAGAAGTGATGTTGCTTTGTCCACCACTTTCCCTGCTCTTTGTGAGGAAGGAGGATTGTTACCAGATTTACTTTCTATGTGAACCTTTGAAGTTTTCACATCTCCCTTCCCACTTTGAGTGCCTTGTTCTTTTATTCCCATTTCTAAGCCTTTGCCCACATCTTTGTCTGCCGTCTTTTTTCTGTTCTCGACAACCGCTTCATCAGTCAAAGAGGGTTCTTTTTGGTGTATTTTGCTCTTTTTCTCGTAAACGATGTTTTGCTTTTGCTGTCTTCCTTTGTCAGATTCAGCATTTCCAACAATGTCTTTATTATCACTTCCTTGAAATTTGTCTAAATTGTGCGACCTTGTAATCTTTTCTTCGACTTCGAAGAATCCATTTATTGATTCTGTTGTCTTTTCACTGACCCACTCTTTCGGATTCTCATTTTCGCTATTGCATTTTTGATTGAGGTCACTAGAAATTTCATGAGCAAGAGGTTTCTGTTTGCTGTATATTTCTTCATCTGGCAAACATGTCATCAGAACCGCGCCAACGTTTTGTACGTGGTCGTATTCGGCGTCAGGAGAAGTAGGAGAAGTACAGGGATTGGACCAAGCCATGTCGTAATCACCACTCTGTGTCAATAGTCTGAAAAACCCTGTGTCGTAGTTATTTTTGTCATCCATTCCGCTGGTAATGGCAAAATTTGATTTTTTTCTTACACTTGCTGTCAAATCGTATGTATCGTTCTGTTCCTCTTTAAATGCGTTGATACTTTTGTACATGCGTGTTATTGCTTCTGATATGGGTTTACAAGAATTGTCATTCATTTGTTGTATGCGAAGGGATCGGAGTTGTCTTTTTACTTGACAGTTAATACAACTACAAGAATATAAAAACCATTTAATAGATTGTAAAGAAGATCCCGAATTCATGATTTATATAGATATTCACATAAGATATTGTAACTCACCTCCAAACACAGAATACGTTGATTAATACGAAAAAGCAAAAAAGTCCAACAAGAATGAATATGTTTTCGGTATTTGGTAAAATAGAATCACATTTTCGACAATTTTCTGGAAAAAAGTTAGAAGTAAGAAATTAATAATTATACTGAAACTTAATATTTTTATATTACCGAGTTAATCGTGAATTTTTCTTCAATAAAGTAACTATTAGCCTAACATAACAATATGATCAACATTTTTCAACCATTAAAGTGTTTCATTGCACTTGAAAGACGAAAACTTATGTTATTCATATTATTTTAGTGTCATTTTAATTTACGTTGTTTGTTATTACTATGAACACAGTTCTCAAATAAATTATGATATTTATCATTTTACTTCTTTCAGTTGATTTCGTAGAGTTAAAGTTGGAGTGAGGCTATTCATTCATAATGTGGAATCAACACGTAATACGCCGTGTGCATAAATTGTATATTACGGATCTCCACTGATGCCCGCGCTATCGTCAACGACATACGGATTATGATTTAGGCCATTCCAAGTTTCTTCTATGTTTAGCGTCCGCGTGCGCCTTGGTTTTTGACACCCCATATAAGAAAAAACACACAACATCAGGAGTCCTGATATTGATTAATTTAGTCGAAATTTCTGAATTTTGTCATTTTCTCCAAATAATTCTTTACAGTAAGTTTTATTGGGCGTATTTTAAGCATTTAATCCCTTGTTTTTGCTAAATGATAGATATTTCTTCTATTAAAGCAGTTTAGTTAGATCATATCATTTGAAGGGCATCATTTTTATTACTTTTAAGCCTGTGTTTTTTGTTTTGGTTTGTGTGTTTTTTGCGAATAGGTATGTAGGTTTTTGAAAGATGTGTGGACGCTAAACAGAGAAAAAAAAACTTGGAATGGCCTTATGCTTTCATCCTGAATGTGTCGTTAAGAAGCAGCGGCTTATTTTCAAGGTAGAAGCTGATGTACAACAAAGAGTTTACGATTTCCGAACGAAGTGGCAAATAAATCAATATATAATGCAAATATCAGCAATTGTAAGATTGCTCCAACTAAAAAAAAACTTTTTAAAGGCTGGTAGCCGATTGCATATCATCTTGATTGTTGCAACAACAGAAATATTTAAAATAAGCATTAGTAGCTGACACCTTTCTTGAAGTTTATTTATTCTGTATTTCCTATAAAATTGTACGTAGTACTTTAATAGTACTTAGGTCGAACAGATAATATAACACAATTCGAAGAAGGGACCAGGAACAAACCCTGGCGTTTTAAGAACCATCCTTTGCAAACAAAACCGAAAACAGTTGTTCGGAAGAAATGAAAGCTGTAAGTATGTATCAAACGATGTTAACCCTCAATATTAAGATCTGGAAAAACAATCTCTCAAGACTTTCTTTCAAAGTTTACACGAAAGACATTTCTCATTAGATGAAATATTAACAAAATGAAGATAATGAGATCATGCTTAAAAGTACATTAAACAAAAACTATATACAGAGCAAACAGGAATACATAAGAAGCGATTTTAAAGAATGTGTACCGTTTTTATCTCCAGTGTTCATATGAGAGGATTCAACAGATGTATATGTAGTAGTACCTTCATCATTGTTTTCTTCAAAGTAAACGATAGCCTGGTACGAAGACACATCTTTGGGAAAAATGATTAAGACAATGAAGATAATAGATAAATAAATGCAATTGATGAATACTATATATATTGATTTTCTGTAAAAAAAAAAATAAAATCATACTAGAATCGCTGCATCCATCAGTAAAATTATTATTGCAGGATACGTATTCTGTATGTGAAGCTCCTCTATATAGCAAACACTTGGTTGGAACAGGGATTTCTGAATAGAATTAAGAGTTATATTTTAATAACATTATGATAATGAGTACAAGCATATGTTAAAAGAGATAATTTAACAAAACACGTATGTCATATCTACCTTCCACAAAGCTATACCAGCTGTCTCCAATGATATACTTTTGTCCTGGTGTAAGTTTAGTTTTCAATTCCTCAAAGGACGATCGACTCTTATTCAGCTGTAGACGACTGATGCAAAACTGGCAATATTTGTGTTGAGTATCACAATCTTGTCGCAAATATAAATTGGAAACTTCATTATTCCATTCAAAAACTCTGTTTATTATTTAGAATAATACTTCGTGTTTAAAAGTTTTAGTTCGTCTACCTGAACAAGTTTCATTTTCTTCTATCCTCTGAATTTGCAAAGTTATGACACCTTCAAGACATAAAAGGTATATAAAAGAAATCATTATTATCATATTTAGAATAGATTTTGTTCAAAATGCACCTTTTATTGACTTTTTTTTCGCTTAAAAAGATTGAACAGATAACTAAAATGCATTCTGAAAGACACTTGAAAAGAAACATATTTGATAGATCTGTCAATCATTTTAAGAAGATTGTTACATGTATCTTGAGTATTGAGGATTTTAGTATATTTTTAGAATCTACAAAAAAGTCTAATAAGAAATGAACAAAAAATTAGTGTCGATTCGCTTCATTTAGCACTATGGAGCAATTAATATGACATTTTACATTGTAATTACGTTTAACACATAAATGAATTTTTCAGTTTTTACTTTAGTAATTTTTATTCAAATGAATAATTGGAACAAACACAGTCTCTTTTCATCTTTAATTAGCTGCAATAATGTAGGCCTCTCCTTTTTTTTTGGGGGGGGGGGGGGCTACAACTCCTAAGGATCTCCGTAATGGTGGAATGCGGCAGCGATTCACTCCCGCACGGATTTCGGCTCAAATTGTCAGTAAACGGCTATTTTATTTATATGTCTTACCTGGACTTCCAAAATGTAGTTATCCCAGTCATAAATTGATCCAAAAATATACAGAGCAATCTATATATCCGTATTTTTCGTGTATGTCAACATGAATTTATCCGCCATGTTTACTGACCTTGACAGATTGTATTTTGGGACAACCAATGAGATTAAGGATCTATATGGAGCGAATTTCTTTGGAATCACCTCATTTTAAACCTTAATATCGCTGTTTACGAAAAAATGACACATGGAATGATTTTATTTATCGATGTTTAGTGTTACTATTCATCACAATTATGTATAAACATCAACATTTGCTTTATTGAGTCATTCTAAAATTCAAGCGCAAGTCTCGGTACGTCATGCGTGAACTGTCATGGCTGCTGAGTAAGACACACAGATTAATTTTTACATGGTTTTCGCGTTTAACGGGTTATGCTGTCGACAGTGAATAAAAATTTCGTCTTATTAGAAGTAAGTTGAATGTAAAAACAATTTATTCTGCCTGCAGTCGCCCGTATCTATAAAATATTTTTGCACCATTACGGAGATGCTGTGGAATTGTAGCCCTCTCCAGAAAACATCAGATAAAAAAATCGGAGAGGGCTACATTATTGCAGCTAATCTTGAATAGTCACATTAAAATATTGACAACGAAAGTAGTTTAAAATTACTTCATTGAATAGTAAAGTAATGGGGTGAGATTTAATATATAATTCATTTATGACCAGCATAGTACATTCCACTACACAAAAGTACTAGTACTCACTTAGCATGCTGCATGTAAAAATAAGAATTCAAATTTAACAATACTGAAAACTTCAAAAGAGGGAGAGAGAAAAAATTATCTTTTTCTTCTAAAAGAAACATTCCACGACAGAATACAGTTCCTCTCTAATTGTTTTCGGTATGGAATTTAATCATGGGGTTTTAATTGAATATCTTAATTTGCATTCTAAAATTCAAATTTATTGTGAAAACTGAACATTATGAAATTTCTTTTGAGTAGATGTAAAGACAAAAATTTGCTCAAAAACTGAGGGGCAAACATCTTTCAAAATTAAGGCTTACCGATATGCAAGGGTCATAGCTGTAGACCACATCGCTCACATGAACACATTGGCAGAAAAACACAAGTTAATTCAGCATTGGAAATTTTCACAGGAGGGAGTGGGAACTATTTCACTTCGAGAATGCTTTGTTGTTCTTGAGAAAAGTTTTAATATGGGCTTTAACTTTTCAATCGTCAACTCCGCCTACGTATGTAGCGATACATTTTCAACACTTACATACGGGGTTTATATCTCTGAGTATATTCTAAACACAAGAGTTCTACGTATGAAAAATTTCTAAAACGGGACAAGTCAGTGACAAACAAGTGAATGAAACAAGAATTTCAGCTGTCTCGCTTAAAGTCATCATTTCATGTGTTCTGTATGACCCTTATATATCGCTAAGACTTTTGAAACATGTGTACCTTAACTTTATTATAGGGAGAGGGCTAAAATAGCCCTGGTTCAACCAAAATAAGTGAAATAGGCTCAGTGGATCTGGAGAAGAAGTCACATGTGTGGACCGTATACAGACGGTCATTCGGAAAGAAAGACATATAGTTAGAAAGATTTCTAAGGATAAGACATCAAAATACAGCGTATTTGCAAATTTTCTCACAAAATTGAAACACCAATTTTCTCATAATTAGTTAATATTATATCACATTATATAACTAGAATTTTAAATTTCTTGCTTATCTTTAAAAACTAAAATAAATAGTTCTATTGATTATTAATTGTTAATTTTTTTAAATTGTAAATTTGCAAGTAGAAGCTTATCTTACCGGAAGAAATCATATATTTAGCTTCCCCCATCCAAGTGTTGTTCTTTGAAATAACGTCTTCCTCAGTCAAAGGTCTTTGATCAAAAGTATCACACACTCTCAGCGACCTTTTCCATGTTGCACCGTTTGTCAACAATTTTCCCCTAACAACAACTAAAAAAATTAATTTGAAATTTAGCATAATATATATGTGTTTCGTATTATGTTTGTTTTAATTTACAATTAAAGGTGCTGAAAAACAGATTTGATGTTAATATTTTCTCAAAATTTTCTGCATAATTTCAAGACTTACTTGTTTCGAAAGCATTTCATACAAAACTATGATCAAAAATTATATTTTTTCTAAAAGATATTGAAACTTTGATTTTATAGACTCGTTTAATCGACACAACCTTACACTTTCATAAATTTTTATTTTACTTTATACTTAAGAAACGTGGCAATTTTGTTGTGTAAGTACATGTATTGGATATGTGCCCAATACAATTCTGTATTAAAAATATCAGACAGTTTGAAGCCCGTTAGGGCCGAAAACTGTCTGATATTTTTAATACAGAATTGTATGAGCCATATATCGTACTTAAAACATCGCTTTTGAGTTACCTGAGACAGTCCGATATTAAAACAAAAGATGAAAGTGTTAATGACCACTGACGTAATTCTTTCAAGAATACAGGCTTAAATAAAAAGTACTCAGTATTTAGGGATTTGGCTATACTGAAGAAGGTATTTGAAAGAATTTGAAAATGAGAGGGGGCAAAATTTTTCCTCATTAAAACATACACGGAGATTAAATCAGTGCAACGAATTATCATACAGACAATCTAGTGAATGATGAATTTGGAGTGGAATGAAATTTGCCGATATTAAGAATAATCACAGAAAATTAAGCAGATGCTAAAGGTATACTAGTCCATTTCATTTTTTTATGTTTTGAAGCATCTACATATACCTTTGTTTTTGATGTTCCATTACAGAAAAACAAACATAATCAATAATGCATGAGTTTGAGGGAAACGTTGAAGAACTTCAAATTTCTTTCAAAATTTGTTGCAAATCTGTCAAATTAAGTATTAATTATCATTTACTAGGCAAAGTTACCTTGATTTTGCATCTAGGCATTCTCCTTTTAATGAAAAACATGAAATCGAATTATTTGAATGCTGCTCTTTATAGTGTTTAAAATTTGTGTTTTATTATGAATTTATTTTTCGGGCTTTGAACGTTTATTTGCTTCTCTGGTGACCTCCAGTGTGTCCACTCTTTTCCAAAAAGCAGAGAAAGGAGTTGAAACACTTTTCCAATTTTATTAAGTTTATTAGAATTTTACCCGTTTTTTAGTGTTTTTTTGGGTTTGTTTTTTATTTGCATTATCTGGTCTGTCGCATATCTTCTTCATGTTACAGTATATTCGCTGTAATTGGAAGTTTAATTAAAAAAAATTGCAATTCTGTAAGATCAATGTTTTAAAATCATCATTCTATGTGAGAAATTTAAATTGCTGTTTGTAGAACTATTACACTTTTTTTGTCTTTTGTTCAGTGGCAGTTCAATTTTGAAAGATATCAGTACTGGGACAGTTTGATATTACGATTAATATCAGACTGCTCAATAATATCGGACCGACACAGGTAAATTTTTAGACTGCAAGAACAAAGGAATAACATAACAGCCATATTTTAATTCTGAGGAATGTTAAATCTATAATAATAAAAAATGAGAATAGAATTGTGCGAAATCAAATCCATTTCCCAGTAATCTCAGCCCATGCTCAATGTTGTATACACACCCCTACTAATGTTATTATACCCCCCCCCCCCGCTTGAAAAGCGGGAGGGTATATAGTAATCGGTATTTCCGTCCGTCTGTACGTCTGTCCGTCCGTCCGTCCGTCCTTCCGTCTAACCGTCCGTCCGTCTGTTACGCTTTGGGATACCCATCTCTTATCCGCAACTCCTCTCATACCACTGAAGGAAATTTAATGAAACTTTCACAGAATCTTTATTACATATTGCCATTGTGCACCTCCTATTTTACTTTTTGATCTGACATATATTTTGGATTTTCCAGAGCAAAACATGGATACTGCCAATATATTCATATGGGAGGCGGGGGGCATCATTTAGTGAGCTCATTGCTCACAGTACCTCTAGTTGTGAGTTAAATTGAGGACACGTGGTTTAGGTTGATCTCTTCAAAGGTTATAGGGTAGAACCGGTTTTATAAATAAAATTGGCAGTGAACATGGTATTGCTATAGTCTGTTTCTTTTGAAAACATGTCCTGAAATACATGTAAATATTTCCAGACCTTTCTGAAAGACTTGATTTTCAACAGAAAAAGGGTGGCTAATGGAGGGGGTGTTAAAATAACAATATATCTTATATACTTTTCGACGAAAATTAGAGCTTATACTAGTGACCGATTCGCTGGTGAAAAATGTGCATAATCATCTCAATGACAAACCTTTCTTTGCCTTATATGGCTATTGTTATTAATGCGCAGAGAGGATCTTACCACGAGCAACTGACCAATTGTTGAATGAATAGCAACGTTTACGCCAAATACATGCACACATTTTACTTCGAACGCGTAGTTCAGGTCAATCTACGATCCTGTTAATGGACTGCAAAATAAACAAAATGTTAAAGAGAAAAAAAATATTTAATTAAATGTAGTTTGCGTCTTGTTCAGAACATCAGCGCTTCAACGGGTAAGGAAAACGAGCAGCATCTCTTATGCATTTAAATGGACAAAACTTTGTTTACGTTCGTGATCACGTGTTAGGCCAGGGAATTCACCTGGCAATTGTATTCACCGATAGTACAACAAAGGAATTAATACAGACGCAAATCGCTTTTGCAGTATGACTTTCAGAAACCTAGACTTCCGCCGTTTATTTAAACAAATGAATTGTTTGTCATTATGAGCTTGGAATTAATATTTTTAAAAATGTTTTTCATTTACCATAAGGTTTTCGTTTTTTCAAGCATAAAATTCCTGTAGTATTCGTAGTTACCCATAATGCAATACTCATTCAGCTGACTGGTCAGTTTAAACCATGCTGGTGCCTCATTTGCTAATCTGACGCCAAAAAATATAGTCCCGGTTCCCATGCAAAAATATTTGTCCAAAAAGAAATTCTAATTCATGACTGCAGGAAATTGTATTATAGAGAATACTAATTTAATTTTGAATGAATGTATAAGAGATTGATTGATTCAAGTACATTTCTACAGACATTATCAGCTGATTCTAGGGTGGTGAAAACTGAAACGCAACATAACTTTTCTGTTTACCATACCTCCACGTACTAGTAACTTCCTAGCCACATTTCCGTGAATAATTTACCCTATCTCGCTTAATTCTCGCTAACTCTCGCCAGACCCACTGCCAGAGCTACTCTGAACTCATCGGGTTTTATAATTTGCAGAACACAGAAAAATAAAAGGTTCCGAACACATACAGAGTTTAACAAATCGAATAAGCCCCTGAAACGTACACATTTTATGTAAATAGGGCATGAGCTCTGTTATCGTTAATGTTTACTTTTCACCGGATGCGTTAAATTATTAATCTCTGCACACACTTCAATCGCATCATCCCAGGTCTTTCCGTCAGAGGTCGGAAAAACAGCCTCAAATGTATTAATTTCTTCGGATGTTAAAAATTTATACATTTCCTGTTTATTCAAATATAGGATAGGTGGAGTAAGAGGCCCCTTTTTAGGTAATATCATTTATACATTGAATAAAGTTAAACTCCATATTCCACAGAAAAAAGGTCTTTTATTTCAAAGATCGTGAAAGGGAGGTTGTAATGGCCAATCTATTGATGTCATGGCGTCTACGCAATACGTTCGAGGTCCTTCGAGGTCGTTTATCCACTAGTCGGAAAGGCCCGAGATGTTCCGAATAAACACACTACTGAGCACGGAATGACATAACTGATGTGTTGGTTTTGCTTTCGCACATTTCTACTCTGAAGTTTCTGATTTTTAATTTTAAAATTTTCCATCAATACACAGCGAAGTTGATGTTTTTTTTTAAGAATGAAAGATAAAGTTTAAAAATGTGAATGTGTAAGGATTTGTCAATAAAACGCGTCTAGAAATTATTAGTTTCAATAACTTCCTGAAAAAATAAGATTTTTAAAATTATATTTTCGTATAAAATACAATACAAATATATAATTACAAAATTATACAGAAATTTTGAGAAAATGATATTATCAATTCTGTGTCAATGCACCTTTAAAACCTTTAATCAATAATTTAGTAAGGTTGGATCAAATTGGAAGTTGAAATGTTTTTATTATATTTTATATTTTGTTTTCCTCACTTTGAGCTTGAAACACTTCGTTTTCTTCAAGTCTCATTTCTTGATTTTTTTTTCATTTCCAAAACTTGGGTGTGTGAGTGGGTGTGTGTATATAATAAAGGCAAAATATTTATAAAATCAATAAATACGAAAGGTACATTAATTTGTACTTTAAGTTCAAGAAAAAAAAACAAAGGAACATAAATAATGTGGACAGATTTGACAACTTATTTAATTTACAAATTTATATTATACAGGAGATATTGCTGTCGGGTTTTGGTATATGCTTCAAATTTGAATATTATTTTAGATTAAAAAGGCTAGAACTAAAGGAAAATGTAGAGCGTATTATATTATTTTCGGAGTAGGAACACTTCTCATTTTACATGAAGAATATCTTTGCTCTCGAAAATTTTCAAAGTCAAGCAATGACAGCGTTCAATTATCAATCTCAAAAGTCTATTTAAAAAATGAAATTATGAGAAAAACCAAACACGGAGCTTTGAAAACATGCCGAAAGGAGAGCATTTTGCTTCTTCTGTGGATACTTTAAAACTACTGCTTTAGGTTTACATTATGATCAACAGGAATATTTTGTTAGCCTCTTAACATGGACATGGACACAATTTCAATTGATTTAAAAAAAAAATCAATAATTTAAATAATTACAATTCATAATTAGGGTAAAGTAAATGCCTGGCAATAATTTGAACATCAATGTTGATTAACAAAGGAAATACAGAACTTTAAATTCTTCAAAATGTAAACATGGCTCGTGCCTTTTTTGTTAACATTTAGAAAATATTAATTTATAGTCACAAAACTGTTTTATCGCATTTAGAATTACCTTCTTTACTGAAAACATCTACTTGAAACAAACATAATATATTTAACCTATGTTTTATGAAAACAAAAAATTGGCACGGGTCTTGATAACATTACCGATATCTGGAGTTCTAAATCTGTCTTGTATCTGGGCAACTGAAATTCAAATGTTTGATATCAAGTTTTATGAAAACAAAAATTTGGCACGGGTCTTGATAACATTACCGAGATCTGGAGTTCTAAATCTGTCTTGTATCTCGGCAACTGAAATTCAAATGTTTGATATCAATTAACAATACCTTATTTAAGTACACGTTTCCTTTAAAAAAACGGACCCTTCACGGTACCTAAGTCGGGAGGTCCTGAGTTTGAATCCCGACCGCGACTGACCTAAGTCGATAAAAAATGGGTAGAAACTGTTCCTTCGCCATGCGCTCGGCACTTTTGAAGTGAAAGTTGCGGGACCTTCGGATGAGACCTTAAAAACCGAGGCCCCGTGTCAGCGACAGGCGTTGGCACGATAAAGATCCCTCACTGCTCAATGGCCCTGAGTGTCGAGTAAAGGTCAAAATTGGAAGCCCTTCAGTGGCATACGATGACGTCTCCATTTGAGTGAAAAATTCTCGAGAGGGACGTTAAACAATATACAATCAATCAATCAATCTTTAAAAAAGGGAAAAATAAATTTGAACACTTTTAGCTGAAACTGTGTCTGAATCCCTTTATCTTTTTTTTTATTTTTTAAATTTTTTTAAGTACAATACAAACGTCTCTGCTAAAACTTTATCGAGAGGAAAGGGGCTATTACCCAATAAATTCTTCTTTAAAGGACTCGGCAAAATATCTTTGGAAAGTCATAAGTGAATGAGCGAGTCCTTTGTACCATTATGCATTGATCAGAACCCACGATAAATGACAATTAACTGATTAAAATAAGTATTTTTCCGAAAATTTGTTTTGTCATTTTGATCAGAACTTCCCAAAAGCATCCATGACATGGAGCTCCTTTAGGTAAAAACTTTCAGGTAATGTTTAACCTGTTTCCACCTTGATGCTATGTAAGAAACTACTAATGCCCGCAACCATTTACACCATCTCGTCTACTTAATGGACGAAGGGCGCTTCCAAAATACTTTTTGTGACCCGGAGGAAAACCATGATGAAGAAGCAAACAAAAACAATTTGGTAAAAACCTTTGCCCCCCCCCCCCAAATCTTCTTGGTGATTTACATCAATGATGTAGACATAAATATTTAAAAGGTGCACAGGAATATCATTGTTACCTCTAGAACAATGTTCAGACGTAAAAGTTGGAGATGCCGTCCAGATTTATGATACTTGTCCAAGAGGTATATGGAGATAACGAACATTATTCAATCTCAAAGTCCATTAAACAATAAACAAAATAAGAGCAGAGCAAACACGGACCTCCGAAACATCAGAGGTGGGATCAGGTGCCATGGAGGAGTGAGCATCCCCTGCCGACCGGACACACCCGCCGTGTGCTCCTTGTCATGATCAGGAAATAACGGAAAAAATTCGTCGTCAATTCAGTGTATAAATGATGGACTAACCATTGGTATTAAAAAACGTCGGTCAGCATTTGACTCAATGATAAATTGTATTTGCTGACAAGGTCATTGTATCGACCATAGAATTTACGAAATTATGACTTTAAACGAGACTGTTGATATTCTTGTTTCATCAACTTGCTTGTCAATAATTTACCTCGTTTAAGAAATTGTTCATACGTAGAGCATACTCTTGCGTATCGAATCAACTGAGATATATATGCAGGTGATGAAAGTTTATCGCTGCATAAGTAAAGGAAGTTGACGATAGAAAAGTTAAAGTCATCACGTTTATCATATAGCTTGAGACTGGGAATAATAACAGAATATTTCGAATTAAGGAATTACTATTCTTGTTATGGTTATGACACCATTATCGTGATCAGGCCATAATAGTAATAACATCATTGAATATTTTGAAAATTTTGTGTTTTCTTAGCATGAAAATAATTGGTTCAGTTATAGTGATATGTAGGGAGATAATGAACATTATTCAAGCTTAAAAAGAGTTTGTATCGGACAGATGTGTTTGCCTTTTTAGTTCAAAATAATATTCATATTAATAATTCTTTGACGGATTGATGTAGAAATTATCTCTTGTTGAAACTTCATTATTTTTTTTTACTTAATTTAACATGGGAAGAATAATTCAGTTTTAAGTTTATAAAAAAATATGTAATGTCGTTAAAATTGATTGTTATATCGATGAATTATACAGAAAATGCCACCATAAAAAGAAATGTTAATATTAAACGAAAAACAATTATAACAGATCTGTTTAAAGTGAGATTAATCAAAGACTGTCTTAGGTAAAAAACTATTTATATAAAAAAAAAATGAACAAACCTGCCAACCAGAAAATTGTGTATAAACGTTCCATTCTGCCATGGAAAGTTAATAATCCGTTGTTTTGTTGGTAATTTTTAATATATACCTAACGTCAGACAAATAATGTTTCGTAAGAAGTTTTCTTGTCTTGATCTAATGCACAATAAATACATTTATAAATAATTTCGTCAACATATCATAGTTGACATTCATACACGACAAACTATCACTTAAATATTAATCATGTGAAACATTTTGGGAAAGCACA